ACAGGAAAAACCTGCAAGAGAAGTGAATGAATTTGACCAGATCCCACATTCATCCAAAATATTCTACCAAGTCTTGAGTTTGTGCAAAACCAGTTTCCAGCTCGGTTATGGCTATAAATCTGTTCCTACCAGCTGCTGCCCAACGCAGCCCCATTAGCGGTGGTTTTCTGCTGCCTGCGTTTCTGTAACTGGGAGGTGACCAGGTGCTCGCCACGTCCCCTTCACCACTGCCCTGGTCGGGCAACATTCCTGAAGGCACTGCCCCAAGAAGAATAGAGCAGGACAAGCATGCAGAGATGCATCACCTGAAGGCCTTCACAGCCCCCAGGGGCTCACAGCTGGGTTCCCAGCCCAGGACCGTCCTGGTCTTAGCTGGATCGAGAGAATGGCTCCGATGGGAACAGCCCCGATGGGAACAGCCCACCCAGGAGCCAGCCCTGCAGAGGCTGAGGGAGGGAAGTGTCTTCTGGGGATTGCTTAAGCCAGTCGTGAAAATAATTTAATTGCACCCTGCCACCAAAAGAGACAGTCCCACCCCTTCCTCAGTCCTCTCCCTGGTTTCTAGAGATCATAACTCATTTTGGATGAGCTCGTTTTTCATCAGATCAGGACTGATCTGACTCACCTTATAATTGCTAGGCATTATGCAAAGGAAGCAGCGGGACCGTGGAACTGGGAACAAGGAAGACTCGTCCCTTCGAGGACAGTAGCCCCAGACCGGTTTTAATTCAGTCTCAGGCTGAAATTTAATTCAGGCTGCTGGGCAGAGCAGCAGTCCTGGTGGAAGTGAGCCTCTTGCTGGTGCCCAACCACCATATCCCACGTCTCACTGTTCTGTGGAGCCACACGAGAAGCTAGATGAGAAAAGAGAAGCACCAAAAAACAGAGACCACCAGAGGGTGCGACAACCAGCTGCATGTAGGTGTGAATTCTGTGCTCCGACCCACGTCCTCCTCGTCTCTGAGACCCGGCGGCAGCACACTCATCGTTTCATTTTGAAACCTTCAGGCTTGCCACACAGGGATGAGACAGAACTGCATGCAAATCCTTCCTAAACAGCCTGGTACCACTGGGACATTTACCTACCTCTGAGTGGAGCCTGGGGACATGCATTTGAGTCACAGAGGAGAAAAGTGTTCGGGACAGGTTGAAGTCCCCAGTCTGCAGCCACTCTTTTCCCCCACACCCACAGGATCAGACATGGTTTCTCTCCCACGTTTTTGTTCCAAGCCTTCTGGAAGTGGGTGAACACCGACCAGCTCACGGAGTCCTGCTTCCCCGGACAGTTTGCTCAGCAGAGCAGGGAGGCACTCTGCACAGGGACCGCAACTGCAGCCAGCAGAAGCACTGAAAGGCCACCTTCAGCGGGGCATGCCCTAACTGACGTGACTGCTGGCAAGCCAAACACCACCAAATGGCAAACGCCTGGCACTTCAGCACTCTGCTTGGTGAAACACTTCCATGGTAGTTCATAGAGAAGCTCCTACACCTCCGCTTTCTGTGGCAAACCTCTGATGTCTGGCTGAAGGCCTCAAAAGAGTTTTCCCATTCCCTCCAGTTAACCAAAATAATTTGAAGCGTTTAAATACTGTAAGATCAGCTAGGAATATCTTAAGTGGAGACCCTTCCACCTAACAGGCGACAATTTAAGCAATTTGGAATAAGGACACTGCTGCTGCCTTCACCAGTAACTGAAGGCCTCTCTCTTGCACAATGCAGTCTTTCTAATAAAAAAGTCTACACTGACATCTCTATCATTTTTATCGCATTTACAAACCATCAGTCAAGAAATTTCATGACAACTTCCAGCAACTGTACCTATTTAATGCATCCACACAACTGTCCATTTCACCCCAGAGCCTGCAGATAAAATGAGCCCTGCGTGACTCTGCCATTACTATGACAAAGATCTCTTTTTGGAAAAAAAAAAAAACAAAAACAAGCAAAACGAGAAGTTCAAGTGAGCAGAGTTCCTCAGCGATAGGATTGCTTTTTGGTAGCAATCACATTTATTTCTACAGGGAATTAAATGAAATATTGACCGTTAACTATTCACAATGCTGGGTACATTTTAGGGAAAAATAAAACCAAAAAAAAAGGAAAACCAATGTCTGCAAAGAAAAGAAAACTTAACTGCACCACAGGTACTATTTTAAATCCATAGCCATCATCAAATCTCATTATCGTTTAGCTTGCTAATTAAAATAAGCTTTGAGCTCAGTACAACTTGGCAACTCAGGTGAAAATAAATAAATGAAATCCTATGGCTAACTGGAAGAAGCCAGGCTCCAATACATCGCTCGGAAGCGTGCCTGTGTCAGCTAAGGGCTTGTCCATACGAACACTGCCAACGTTTCAGCAACGCGGAGGAGCTCGCTGCAGGACTCTCTCCAGCACCAGCTCTCACACAGCAAAGAAATTCTGCAGCCGAACTTTCAAGAAGGTTCCTTTTGCCAAAACCACCATGTGTGCTTTTAATTAAGATCGTATAGCGAGTTGTATTGAGCACACACAAACTTGCAGGGAGTGCTATAAGAATGTCAACCTCTTGGTCAAGCTGTACGTCCCCCCAAAATGCATCCCCATCGGAAATCATTATTCATTGCATGTGTACGTGCACAACACGTATCCTACACTGGGTAAACGGCCAAAGTCCAGAAAGTATTTTCAGCATCAGAGAAATACCAATACTTGCAGGCTGATGTCATCAAATACATTCACTTTTAGCACTATCTGAATACTGGAAGGTAGATGTTCAGTATATTTTCCTCAATAAAAGTGGCTCTATATATACCAGTTAGCTTGATCATTAGCAAAAATAAAATTAGCTCAGAATAAAGTAAGCCTCATCTTTCCTAAGTGTCAAATCCAGTCTTAATGTAAAAGCTTAGAGTATTTTCTCTCTTTCAATTTTGATTAAGAGAATTTACTACCCTTTAATAAGTTTAAAAAAAAAAGTAGCTCTAAGTTCAGATTTTTGTTTTTATTATTTTAAGGCACTGAAATCTCGTAGACTTTCTAAAGTCCCTTTCGAAAGTCTCTTCTTAACCAATTTCACCATTTGTTTGTGAACTACTCTTCCTTTTTGTCATTTTGGAAGCTGCTGGTTCTGCCTTTTGTGTCTGTTCTTTGCTAAATTAAGTTATCCTGAGACATTTATTTACAACAACAAAGATCAAAAGTTCCAATGTCCTTACATTAAAGGAGTCTTCTTTCCCCAAGAAAATCATGCATGTGTGTGAAAACACTAACAATGAATTATTTATCTGCCAAGAGATAGTATCCTAGGATTACTTGCTGGCTGCATTAAACTGGTAAGTGCTCTAAATGGTGCCTTTCTCTGATCGTTTCAGTTGGAATAAGCTCAAAAGAAACAAGTAATATGTTCCTTGTGACTAGTCACTTCAGGCTACGATTAAGCATATAACTCAACCTCTTACACCCGCTTATTTTCCCTTTTTCAGTATAAAGACTAAAAATAAGATCAAATGGGGTGATTTTAAAGTCGGGAAGTACAAGCATAACATTTCTTATGCTGTTTTTCCTACTGAGCAATAGGGATTCCGTCATATTAATAGCATTATACGTTCCTAAAACTGGATCCTAGTTGGCAAGACAGGCTCCAAGGCTGCAAGATCAAGGAAAAAAAAAAAAAAGAACTTCTGAAGCACATTAGTGAAAGAAATTTCCAGAACGCATTTTTTTCTCTCTCATGGTACCAATAGAGCAAAAAGGGCCCATGTTCATTTCCCTTCATCATGTTATTTGTTAGTATTTATTTATTCACACCTAAAACATTAATTGTACTGAGTAATAGATAAGGTGATGTACAATGACATTTTTGCAGCATAAAAATAACAATTCCAACATGAACTTAGACAGAAACTTCTCAAACTCGCTGGCTATGCCTACACTCGCAATTAAAAGAGGCCAGAGATCATTTTCCACTCCGAAGAAAAACTTGCACTGCTTGACCTGTGACGTGTAGCCAAAACCCTTCCCTCTGCCCTGTCCAGGAAAGGGTGGCCGTGTCCCACACCCATGTGAAGAAGTCCTGTTGTGTGCCACCTGTGCATGACACCCAGGCATCACTTAGGAAGATGCTGGCAGCCCTGGCACAGCCACGCCAGTAACAAAGCTGACAATTTACCAGCGTAAAGATTACGTGCCAGACCTCAGCCTAGCAGCCAAGTCGTCTTTGATGGGCTGCCATGGGCATACCAGCCATTAAGAAGAACGTCCGTGCAAGCCTCTCCTCAGGCCTGATGCAGAAGCTGCCTTTGGCAGCGTGCCTGGAAGGCCACAGGGATCATCCTGCCTTTGAACAGGGAAGGGAAAGGGGAACAGCACCGCACTGTACGCTGCCAAGTGCAGCACAAAGTGCAGTCCTATGAGAACCGCAGATCCTTGCAGAGGTTTGCCCACTGTGATGCTCCACCACCACCAGGTTCTAACAAAACAGCCTTCCTACCTCTCAAGTAAATGCAGACATTTTATCAATGCCCAAACCAAAATTCACATCCACACATTGCTGCATGACTCGAGTGGATGACAGGATTGAGAAACACAGCCTGCAGGGTTTAACCAGATGGCACCCTATTTGACAGAAAATGGGTAAGTCTAAACAATTCGGATGTTTTGTTCTCCACAACCATGTCTTCTACTCAATAAACAAAAAAAAGAGACATGCTTTTTCAGACATGTGAAGACATCTGAAAAACGTAAGCCTTCCTTTCTCCTACTTCACACCACCCACCAGCCCAGCAGCTGATTTTTCCCACTAACTGAAAATCAAGCAGCACTGTTACAGAAACATACTCCAGTCTCAGTTTCTTACGTTTAATCTCGGAGTGTTTAAAATTAAGTGCTCTTTCCCTTTTTATTAGCTACTACCTAATTACGATCAACTGGCAGAGGAGGAGGAACCGTACTCCTGAGCCACCGCACTCCGTTACGACCCACGGCGCGCTGAAAGCAGCCACGGGGCTCCGCTCGCCTACCTTCCAGCAGCCAAAGTCCATAGCACTAAGCGAGCAGGAAGCACCGGGGCTGTGTTTGCTTTTGGGGTGAGCAGGGCTGGCTCAGGCTACATCCCCCGGCGGAACCTCCGGCTCTTCCCGACGCTTCTCTCCCGCAGGAGCCGCACGCAGCGCGCATTTCTGCCTCAAACCTGCAGCTTTTCGGTCCCCGACCCAGCCGGCAGGGCGGCGAGATGCTGAGGGCAGCCCCCGGAGCGGCGTTATCCCCGCGTTATCCCCCCGTTATCCCCCCGCGGACACGGCCCGTGAGGCGCAGCCCGCGGCTCGCTGAGGCCGCCCCGCGCCCGGCCCTCCCCCGCCGCCAGCCGTCACCTCACGGCGCCCGGGGGCCGGGCACAAAATGGGCGACGGGGAGGGGGCGGCGGGGCTGGCACGGCCCGGGGGCGGCACGGCGGGCCCTGAGGGAGGAGGAGGAGGAGGAGGAGGAGGAAGGGGAGGAGGAGCCCGGGCCGGGCGGGAAGGGGCTCCCTGAGGCGCTGAGGCGCTGCGCGGCCCGAGCCCGCCCCCCAAGCCCCGCCGCTGTCCGCCACAGGAGCCTCCCCCTCCCCCCGGCCGGGCTCGGGGCCGTGTGGGCCCGGCGCTTACCGGGAGCCGCCGCCTCCTCCCCGCTGCTGCGCGCCGCGGGCCCGGGCTGAGGGGAGCCAGAGGGGAGGGGGGGATGGGAGGGGGGGGGGGGGCCGGGCCGCGCGCGCCGCCGGCGGGAGGCGGAGGGGGGCGCGCAGGGGGCGCGCGGGCACGGCACCGACCCCTCCGCCCCGCCCCTCCCCTCGCGGGCGGGGACGCCGCACTGCGCAGACGCCAACTCCCCCCCCCCCCCCCTGCTGCCCGCTGCCCCCCCCCCCTCCGGCGCCAAGCCTCGGCTGGAGGGGAGGGGGCGCGCGGTCAGGGGCGGCGCATGCGCGCAGCGAGCCTCGCGCCGCCTGAGGAGGGGGGACTGCTGAGGCGCCTGGCGCGCACCTGAGGGGGAGGCGGGAGCGGGGTCTGGGGGCTTCGCCCCGCGCTAGCCCGGCAGGGCAGCGTTACGTTAATTGTGTTAATTGAGTTAATTGCAGCCTTCCGTTGGAGCGAGGAGTAGGTGAAGGTGGTTATAGGGAATGGCTGTGTCTCCTCAGATTACAAGAGCTGTGTGAACGCAGATTCCAGGCTCGTAGCTCCTTCCCGAAGGCCGGCGTATGTGGCTCATGGCCGTGAGGGACGCCTGGCTGCTGTGAGCAACGAGCGGCTGCAGCTCACACACTGAAATCTCAGCGTTGGCGCTCCGGTGGGAGGCGTAACGCGGTCTGTATTTACGGGCATGGGCTGCAAAGCGCTCTGAGCACAGCAACTAAGAAAATGTGCTGATGGGACACATCCCGTGAAAGTTTCCCCGTCAGGCGTTCTGTGGGCTCGGGCCCTGGTGTAAAGCCGCTCTCCCACCAGCAATTCAGCTGCTTTGTCAAAAGAAACGCTTTGGTACATGATTGCATCACAGCCTCTCCCCTGAGGTACATTCCTTCCTCGAATTCATAGTGCTGCAGATCGGCGAGGACAAGTATAATTTACAGTCCCCTTGTTATCATGGCTGAAATTTAATTTTTAATATTGTAAATCAAAGTAAATGACATCTAGATTTCATGAGAGTTCCCTTTAAAATTGAGAGGATGTTTGCTTCCAGATGTTACAACATAGTTTGATTTACTTTGTGAGGAAAACATTCTTATTTATCTATTTATTAAACCAGTCTTTTATTTAGACACCCTTCCCAATCCATTTCTCTCAGTCTGCCTCTCCTTAGCTGGCAGGGATTAATTCCCCTGGAAGGTTGCTGCACGGACACAGTTTGCTTGTTTGACATTAAACAGCTCCTTTACACTTCAGTAATATTTCTGTTTTGGGGTTTGAAACAATATGACCAGTGCCATTCCCTTAGGTTTTTCTGATCCATGCTATGTTCCACAAGATGTTGTTTTGTGTTTTCTGTGTTTCTGTTTTTGGAATGAATCTTAAGGGTTATTGGGGCCAGCAGGACTAGAAGCGATTGCCCTTTGTACGTGACACTGGTGAGACCACCAGCTGAGGGAAGTGAGGTTGTTTACTTGTAGACTGGAGGCTGAGGGGAGACCCCATTGCTCCACAACTACCTCAAAGGAAGTGCAGGGCAGTCTCTTTTCTCAGGTTACAGGTAATAGGACACTAGGAAACAGCCTCAAGTTGTGCCAGGGGAGTTTTAGATTGTGTACTAGGAAGAATTTGTGGAGAGGATGTGGCATTGGACCGGACTGCCCAGTGAAGTGGTGGAGTCGCCATCCCTAGGGTTGCTTAACAGGTGTGTGGATGTGGGGCTTAGGTTCATGGTTTGGTTGCGGACTTGGTGGTGTCAGGTTGATGGTTGGATTTGATGACCTGAAGGATCCTTTCCTACCTAAATGAGTCAATGATTTCAATGACAGCATTACTTCTGTATTAGGGAATGTGAAAAATGTCTGTAATTGTTTTGTGCAATGTATTTCTCACAGCCCACCAAGTTCTGCTTTCTGTTTTCTAGCAGGAAACAAAATGTGGTTCATTCAGCTCAATGAATTTATGAGCAAGCTGCTCAATGACAGTGCATATACCTAGTATCTAGTTCAGGAACTTAAAAGGACACTGAAAAGAAAAAATAAAAATAAAAAAATACTGCAGCACTGTATCCTATAATGTGTGCAAGAGCATTCCAACTGTCTGTTAGGAAAACTTTCTCAGTGTAGTTATGCAGTGGATTAGATTGCCCAAGAGGATTACAGAATCTCCATAATTGGAGGCTTCTAACAAAGAGCAGACAAATGTCTCTCTCGGGAGCAGGGCAGGTACAGCCGATCCTGTCTCAGACCAATAGCTATATCCTGCAGGGCTTCTGAGCAGCAGCTACCTTAGGGCAACCTGCTCAAAGCCACAGGAAGCAATGCAAGTGTTGCCTGGTAAATGAAAAGCCACCTGCTCAGGAGTGGACTCTGCAGCAATTTGCAAGGAACATCCACCGTTGGGCACTCCTGTGTTGTTCCCCACCCTGCTCCAGCCTGAAGTTTTAATTCTTTCTTGTTACAGAGAAGCAGTTGCTGTAAATGGCTACCAGTTGAATTTGCTCAAGCTTGTGCCCTGAGATTCAGCTCACGCCAGTAGCTGTGCTGCTCACCCAAGGTCTTCAGATGGCAGAAAGGAGCTAGGAGCAGCTGAGAAGCACCCACCTGGTAAGCAGCGAAGAGCTTAATACAGTGTGAGCATGGCTGTGCAAGCAGAGACCCTGGTAAGGAGCTAGCACTAGGGATAGGACACAACACCTTCCAGGCTCACTCACAGGTATCCTGGTAACATTCAGTGTGGTAGAACTACAGAGGTAGGCTTTCTAATTGAGGGAGGGTCATTTTGCAGAATTCCACATTGAAGCTATCTGAAAACCGTTTTGAAATTACATTATATGGATATGCCATGAGCAGGAAGTACTAGTAATACTCTCTGAGTTTCCCCTTCTTTTCCTAGTTTAGGGGTGGGCATGACACATTTTTTCTTGACTTGCATCTCATGTCAGTGTAGCTTTAACCACTCTATTTTTTTCTCTAATTTGGATATTGTGTTTGAGACATGACCTTGTGATCCCAATTGGATGCAAATCAGTTTAAGAACTTTCAAGTGGATATTTATTTTAGAGGGGTTTATATTTTATACTAAATTTGGACTTTATTAAAACATAAATGTACTTTAATTACATTAATTATTTAAATAACTTTTTATTTAAATAAAGCACCGAGAGAACTTGATTTAAATAACTGATTCAATTTCCACATTGGTTACCACCAAACACTAATTTAATGCAATATTTAAAGAACCTGGAGGCTGAAGCTGATTTCTTAGCAAATATGTAACTACAGCTAACATGCTCTGCACACAGATGTAAAGTGTTGGGGGTTTGAGACTGGCTGCATTTTGAAGGAGTTTTCCTACAAAAGGATTGATAGAGACCTGATAACATACCATTTTGCTTAACTACTTCCCTCCCTTCCACACAAGCTGTTTGTGTATGTCATAATTGCTTTACTTTAATTCAGGCAAGAACCCTGTACTAACCTGTAGCTTTTACTTAAGTAAGACAGCTTTTACCTTGTAAAACACGAAATGGCTTTCATTTTGAAACCCGTGGTAATTTCCTTACCTCTAGCAAACTCAATCAAATGCAGTTGACACATTCAGTTTAATGTAGGCCCAGTTTTTAATTAAATAAGACCCAAAGAACCTGACAAACATAGATACAGGAGATTTTATTTAACATTGTGTACAAAGAAAGGCTACAAATGCCTTAGACTTTTTTCTTCCCCCAAGTACAGCTTTTGTGTCCCTTCTTCTTACCACTTATCTCAGAATATTAAAAAAAAAATCCTGAATTACTATTTTTCCCCCTTTTTTCCCCCTTCCTTTTTTTCCTCTCTTTGGGCCTAAACTGAGAGATGTTTAGCAGTACAGTTTCAACACCTTTCAGGATTAAGCTATTAGGATTAGGTTTTCTTTTCAAAAACAGAGCACTATGATACTGAAGCACTGACAACAGCGGTATAAAATGTCAAAAACAGACTCTGTAACATGGTAGAGTTAAAACAATGCCAACAATATTAACTCTGAAGAAATCCAAAATTATCCAAACAATAACAAGTTGCTTTTCTTCTACACCTGATAATTTAGCACTAATTATATAATTTAATTGTATTTATATTTAAATAAATAGTCTTATTATCTCCTTTCATTGGAATTCTTCATGGATTATAAACACTTGTAATACTAGAGATAAGAACAAACTACACAACCTACATAGGCAAGAGAAGGCTTAGTTTTATGTTTTTTGCTAGACAGACACAGAAAGGACAACATTTCACAGTGTCCTGCTGTGAGCTCGTACTTAAATTCACCATTTCATTGTGGTGTTCTCAGTCATCTCCAACAGGATGATTCCTTACCCTCTTTTTGCTGCCTTGGATAGTTCATAATCACTTTTAGTACTGATATCCCAACCTTTTGAAAGATCTGTTCCTACACAGGTAAGTTTTATCCAGGATTCCAAATTACTTAGCAATTCTACAGGTTATTGTATATTACTCTGAAGCCTGATGTAAGATTTCTCCTAGGCTGTGAGAAGCAGTAAAGAAGAGAACAGGGAGCGAATGCATTGGAAGAGGCTGTTGTGAAGCAATGTTCTTCTGCTATGGCAGCATTTACATTGCATTACTGGCATATGGGAGAGTTTTAAGGTATACATCAGTTTTCAGCTACTTCTGTGATCCCTAAGGTTAGCATAATCCCAATTTCTCCCAAAATGGAACTAAAATGAAGGAAATTTGAGCTTGTCTATGTAGATTGAGTTTTGATAATTCAATTAGGCACTGTAAAGGAGGAACTGGATGAGTTTTATCCCGTAATTGCCTTCTGGGCCTCACTTAAACTGCCCCAGGGGAGACATGAGCCTCTAAGGACCCAGGCCATCTGCTCACTGGTGGGCTCCACCCATTGTGACACTCCTTTAGGGTTATCTGCGGGAAGCAGCTATATTTTCTTCCATACATCCACAGGGACATAAACTGGTCTTGTAACATAAATCATTGTGCAGATTAGAGAAATGATTAATCTGTAGAATGCCTTGGAATCTCAGAACGCCTTACCACTGGGAAAAGAGACTGCAAATATTACGCAAACAAAAGCTCTTGTGGAAAATCCAAAAATAATTCTCCATTCTGATGAATAATTTTGACAAGATGATTAGAGCATGACTGCAGTTACAACCAAGCAGTAAAGCAAATACTTCTGCTAGGCTTGGGCACTCTGTAATCATATTAATTCCCAAATAAGCTTGAACAGGTGAAAAGAATAGAATCTTATTTATATTTGCAAAACAAGCCTGCACAAGCCCAGAGCTTCAGCAGTACTTGGTACATTCTGCACCAGAAGACTGGAAATATTTTAGTTTCCTCCAGGAATAGCCCTGCTATAAAGTGAACCTCCTGCTGTGGTGGTTCTACAGAATAGAAGACGTGGTTGCTGTTGGAAAAGGAGGGGGTCTTTCCTACTGAAAAGTGAAACCTGACAGTGGAAAGTTAGTGACGTGGCAAGTATTTACACGGGTCACCTGCATGCTTTTACAGGGGTCTCCTCCAATTCTGCTATAACATGGAAACACAAGGAGAATCAACAGTGGCGGCAAATTAAGCCATTTAATAATTTTCTAATTCTTGGCAGTAGCAATTACGTATTTGCTTCACCTAGAAGGTCTAAATTTAGTGAAGGAGGAGAATCAAGATAACACATACGCTCCAGTTTGCTTTGGTCCTTCTGTTTCAACCATGTTATCACTATAGTATGTTGTGGTATTTTAGCCTTGCAGCCCAGAAGCAGACTTTTAGCTTAAACTATAGTATAACTTCCTGGTTTTGTTAGCATTTTCCTTTGCAGGGGTGTTTCACCTTTGCTAATACATGGACTCTATTGCTCCTCCCTCTATCTATTGCCACAGGGGAAAAATGCAGAGAGCAGGTGATAAGCTTTGCTTTCTTACCACTGAACTGTGAATTTTTAGTAGCAAGAAAGGGATTGCAGCACGTCAGAACTGGGAGGCTACAGTGGCCGAATTCCTAGCGTTCCTATATTAATGTTTATTTACTGGCAAGATAGTCTTTGCTCACAGTTATCTGAGGCACAGGCCTTCTTCTGTAACTTGAAGGGAGAATTTGTGCTCTATACAGTTCCAGACCATGTAATCCGAGTGATTCCTAATTATACTTTTTTTTTTTTTTTTCCAGTTGTGTTATTTTTCTTCCTTAAAACTTTGTTAAAGAATAATTATTAACTGTGCTTGGTTTAGAGCTTCTGTTGATTTTAAGGATGATGCATGTACTTAATTGTGAACATTCATTTCATTTTAGTTCAGAATGGAGAATTGCTAATACTCACTTGAAAGCTCCAGCATCTCAGTTGCACAGTACCCTATGTTAAAGGGAGCGGACAGTATCAGATTTATTTTTCAGACTACAGTACTATCAGAATGTTAGCAAAGCTTACAAAGAAAAACATATCTGGACTACAGATTTAAGAGGGAATGAACAAATTTCTGACTTATTAACTACACCAAAAATTTGATTAGTCTGATTGTATCCTACTTGCCTTTTCAGATTTTTCTTTGAGGAACAGAATGAAGCAAATCCCTTAAATCTAGCATGAATGTATGAATCTTCTGTTAGTGCAAGTCCCTGTATTCTTGAAATAAAGTCAAAAGGGAATGGGTAGAGGCTGTTCTTACAACATTTTCCATTTCTTCCAAAAATTTTTGTAATAACGCCTCAGTAGATCAACAAGCACTGAAATAAGAGGAAGGATTAACCGGTGAGGAATCGGAGAGGGTTGGTTTGTTGTTGGTTTTTCCCATCATATTTTAAGTATCCTTAAAAGTCATGTTGGTCAATTTACATTTTATACATACTTGAAAGAATGGCACATTAAGATAAAGAACACGTTGTCATGCCTTCCAGTGTTACAGGGGTGACAAGCAAATTTGGAAATCCATGTATGCTTTACAGAACAGTACATTTGTTTAAATAAACTCATAGAAAACTAACATAAACAACTGTAAAACACATTTTAAAACAGGTAAAATGAATAAACTGTAAAAATACTGCATCTCCCATAAACATACTCTGTGGTTCCACCACCTAGTGGCCAACAAAATATGTTGCAGTTTTGCTTCATATGGTGCATGCTGATTGCCTTCGATTAGCAAGTGAAAGTCACAATCAAGGCAGGCAGTGGGCATCAGCAAATATAGTGAATGCACTGCTGTATTTTGCCCTTAGCTGATACATTAAAAAATAGCAGCATTAAAATACAGCCTGAAATAGCTTAGCTACTACCTCAACTTGTTAAAATTGTGCAAGAATAAAGAACACCAGCAGCATTTTAATGGATGTGTTTCGATTTGGTTTTGGACACTCTACTCCCATAAAAAGCATACATAACACACAAAGCTGAGGCTGACCTAGTAATTGTTACTTCTTGACCGTCATTAAAACTCTTTCCCTTAGTTTGCTTTTTTACTTTTTTTTCTTAATTTAAAAACCTATTCAGTGTTAAAAAAAAATCCATGAGAATTTTAAAATAGTTTCTAAATGCCAGGAACGGATGCTTACTCCTCTCCTTAAACTGGAGATACACAGACTATTCTAATCACCTGAAATTCTTCTGTTGAAAGTTTTAATGTTTCACATTGATGTAACTGAAAGTTACATTTTTAGGTCTCTCCAATACACTAGAATCAGAGCGAATATAAACGTCCAGTGCACGTTTAAAGGGTAATGTTTTGCTAGTTTGCTCATGCTGTTCATATTGTACCTTTTAATGCAGAAAATGGAAGAGTTGGGTTTTCTGACACAACTCACAAGCAAATACATAGGTGTAGAAATCAGAAGGCCTTCTCGAAAGCCAAGTTTTGCAAGTCCCTTTATGTTTAAATATGATAAGGCTTATTAAAAACACAACAAAGTTCAAAAAAAAAAAAAAAAAAGCACACCCACAACATCTCTGTGAAAAGAAAAGAAAAGCCTTTTGGAGATTCTTGATTTCTGAAAACATAAGTCTATTTGAAAAAGCTTGATTGCGAAATTAAAGGAAATTCAAGAAATCAATTATCATATTTCAAATCAGTCCACAATTCCATCATTAGCAGTAAGATGTGCTATCCTTTCCAGCCCAAAATTACCAGCTTTGGGGAAAACATATTCATACTTAACAGAAATAATTAATGGGTTAAGTTAAATTAACTTTTTTTCCCTGATCCACATGCCTGCATGTTAGATAACGTTACATTAGAACTGAGCATTGTAATGAGAGACTAAAAGCAACAACCTGTAACAGTAACCAACGCAAAAGCTATTTTCTCATGGTTACATACTATAGATCAGTAATATAATATTAAAATTAAATTCCTATATAAATAAAAATAAAAAAGTTGGGCAAAAGTAAATTGGCACAGTCATGGTATTGCTTTCCAGTTTCAACACTGCAAAGAGCAGCCACAAATTCTAAACACCAAAAGGAAAAGGCTATCACTCAACCACCTGGTGTAATTTGTTGTTTTTTGTTTGTTTCATTTGTGTTTTTTAATTTTAATTTTTTCTTTTTAATGAGGTCAACAACCATACTACTGCGTCAAATATACCAAACAACAGCTTGGAATGGGTAGGTATGCAGCTAGCAGTCAAAGGATTGTTACAGAACTGCTATGAAAAAATGAGCACAAATACATAAAACCCAAACCACAGAGCGTGGTTTCCTGGTCTGCATGACTTAAGTCAAGATTTTGCAAGATTGTGACTAATTTTTACCTTCAACAAGGCAAAAAATAAAAAAATTAAAAAATTTAAGCCTTCAAGTTTGCTTGCCTTCATTCCCTCCCTCCCCCAAAAAGCAACTCCTACTATAAACATTTTTTCTGTTTTCTGGGTTCAGAAGTTGGAATGTACTGGAAATACATACAATAGAGAAGGAACTTCTAGTTGTACATTACATTACAAAGAAGTTTGCTCCCAGACCTAAGAAGGGATACTAAGCAATATTAAATTCCTATAAGGATCCTTACAAAGCATGCAAAATGTTGATATACTCACAAAAGTGGAATTTCTCTTTGTTCCTTTTTGAATTTGCAACTTCACAGTACAATAGTTTCTAATATTATGCAGCAGTCAGAATCACATTGACTACAAAACCATTTCCCTTCCATTATTTTTTTTTAATTTCCATTTGTTTGAAACTCTTTTGTCGTGTTTTTGTTGTCTTTGTTTGTTTGGGGTTTTGTTTTTCTAATTGAGAGATTGCAGTTTACTCATCAGAAAACATGAAATTCAGCATAAGGAGGGTTGCTTTCGTCATGGTATTTCCACTCAAATGATGTTGACACCCTAACAATACCAATTACTTCTTTCAAACTCCATCCCTCCCTCCTCCTTCCCTTGCTGATTCCTTCCCTCGTCTTTGAGCTGCTCTTTTCTTCTTGCCAGGGTGACGGATGGTTGCCGCAAACTGGATGCTGCATAACTGGGTAGGAAGTAAAGGGGGCTGGAGTACATTATGAAAATGGAATAATTCATACCTCCCTCAAGATGTTTGGCACAACTGCTTCATAGCCAGAACACTTTGCTCTGGATTAAGCAATTAGATTATGCTTTCAGTTCCCTAGACAAATACTGCTGCCCTTTACGCCTATGTAACCCCCGTGGCTTTGACCAAGTTAGGCAGGAAAACACAAAGCTAGTATTTAGCTAGACCTTTTGTACTGCTGTATGTAGTTCCACAGAAATTTCTTCACTGCTCTTATTTAAAACAGGGTTGAAGTTTCTGAAGAATACATGTGCATGCTACTGGCTAGGTTGTCCATAAAGTACATTCTGACATATTTTATCAAAGTATTTATATCTATCAGAAAAAGACTTTTGTAGAAGCAATGTACAAAGCCTCCAAAAATTCAAGTATCAAAACAAACAAACAAAAAAGCTGTTATGATAGAAGTTTGGAGTAAGCAGCCAGCCAACCTGATAGCCACTAATAATTTGTTTTGTCCAGAAATGCTTCAATTATTTTTGCAGTGATAACATCGTTTCTTTGGAGTGTTGGAAATTAACAGCGTTCTCAATTAATTTTCATTAAGTTTGGCAGGGTCTAAGGAATTCAGCAATCCTCTCTGGATAGTATTGCTCCTGCTTTTATATGCAAACAAACAACACAATCACAAAGCACCGACTCAAATCCTCCCTGCCTCTCTTTAATTTGATGTATTTATTTATACTGTAACATCGTTGGGTCTGGGTCCCTTAACCCCCCCCCCCCAACCAAACATCTGAAGTGCAACGTAGGCGAGAGCAGGGCATCTCCTTCCCTAGAGTTTGTATAAACATTTGCAGGGGAAGGGGTGGGCGAGGCAAAAAAAAAAGTTCTAGTTGTATGCAAAACTGTTCCATTTCTTTAGAACCCTGTTCAAATCAAGACTTGAATTTCTGAGGAGAGAATCTTAGATCCCAGACCCTTCCCTTCTCTCCTCTTCTTGCAAAGCAATGCTATTTTTGTGGCCTAGAACAGTACTTTAAAAACAGCAGTTATTAAAGACACAGTTGTGATAGATCTTTTAACTCCCCCTCACCCAAAAAAGGGTATCCTATCAAGTGGTCCAGTAGAAATCTCGAAGTTTCTTTATGATAAATCCATAAAATGAGGAATACCTTCTGTCACATTCCCAACAAGAATAACAGCCACACTCTGTGGTGCATTTGTTCAAGTGTCTATTGCTCCTTCTAGTGGAGATTCTGCACAGCTCCATCTCCAGTTCAATTCTTTCTACTGATCAAAAGTAGAGAGATTTTTCTCCTTTCTCTTCAGCTTGTCTCTGGTTAACAAACAGCAGAAGCGCTGAGGACCATAATTCCCCAGGACAGGAACAGGCCAGAAATGTCTGAAGAAACACCAGTCTTCTTTTTCTCTGGAGAGGCAGATTTATGCCAAGAGCAGTTTTTTTTTTTGAGTCCTGTTGGTATCACAGGCATTTACACCTCTGTGGAAAAGAGAATGCTTTGTCTCTTGCTGTCTGGGGTAGGGATGGTCTCTAGCTGCAGGAAGTACAGAAGGACTTGAACCTGGAAAGAGAAAGAAAGAGGTAAAAATAAACACCTTTTAACTCATTCTCATCCTGGCTATTTCGGATTTGCCATCATTCAATAAAGAAAGTACAAAGCTTGCTGACGAGCTAACAGCTCTGTGCTCCAATTCTCTGCACTACCTTCAGAAGGCAGCAAGGGCCAAAGCTGAATCTAGCAAGGATGTTTTTTTTGTGTATCAGTGAAGGTGACTTATGTGTTGAGGAGCATCGTGGAAAAAAAACAGACCATCCCTTTATCGTAGGCTAGAAATACAGCACTGTGTGACAGTTCTCAAAAATCTTTCTATGCACTAACAAAGAATGCAGGATGTGTGTGTTGTGACGTTTTTTCATGTAAAGCTGTGTTAGTACAGATGCAAACTGAATGGCCTGAAAAAACACAGTTCTATAAACAGTCTAAAATGTCTGTGTTGAGGTGAAAGTTATTTATGTTTCTAAAAACTTCATTGAAACACAAAAGACAGCTGAACCACGCCTTGCCAGAGGACTACAGTTTCCCAGCGACTGTCTTCAAAAAATTCAATAGCAGATTTAGTATTTTACCTGGGACATGACTTCTAGTGACCAACTATCAGTCATTGTTATAGGCTGGGTTGGGTTAGCAGGGATTTTACTGTCCTTCTCTGAAGGTCTGAGCAGTGTTGGTCCAAAGACAGTTGCAAGATTATGCAGGGACATCTTGTTGATACTTTCCCTCTCAGCAACCCTAGGAGAAGAAAAATCAGGCAAGGTGGATCTTTATAAATATCTGACTTTGAAAGTGTCCTGAAGTACAAAAACATATTTATTCCTTTTGTAAAAATTTTAGGTATAGACATTCAAGCACGCACTCTCTCTGTATGTCCCCAAATTAACTGTATGCATAAGCATTTCTTTGATTTGACAACCACAGTCTTAAGCGCTCTACAGACACAGCTTACTTGGGAAAGAGACTGATGCTTATTATCTGGTCAGACAAAAATGGGATAGGAATAAAGGCATGTTTTTCATGCCAGTTTTCTAAGTGAGCAACTGAGGCACCTAGGGTAAAAAAATTACCTAAGGGCACAAAAGTCTGCAGCAGGAACAAGTCAAACCCAAATTTCCTGGAATTTAATCCAGAACCTCAGTTACAAGATCATCTCTCATCTTTGCAGTGACAGTCTCTGGTGTGTACAATACCATGTAAATTAAAATACTGTGTATGTATTAAACACATCTATTTTATTACTATCAAATGCATGGAATTTTTTTTCACAGTTACTACCAAATTACAAAGACATAGACAAGATCAGAAAGACTGGTCTAGGCAAGGAACTGACAACTCCAGTTAGCAGAAGGACAAAACTGGAATTCTAAAGACATACCATGTCAGATTGAGACACCTTTTGAGACAGGACTCACAAGTGCATAAACACAGACTAAGCTTTCCAGGTTACACTAAAACCTTTCCAGATGCAGGTGCAGTTTTACAGAGATATTGCGGCAGGAATTTGCAGTTGCACTAGATAAGCTCTGAGACTTTTTTATTACCCCTTTCCTTCAGTTCTAATCCTTCTGGTTTCAGTGAGAATGGAATTCAAGATTTAGTGCTTCACATGAGACAATAGTTACCTGATAAGCATTCACAGCAAATCTGCAAATGATTCTTTATTTGCCTGATTCAGTGCATGTTCAAAGAACAGGCTCTACTTTCCAAAATAAGGTTGTTTTAAGCATTAAATATATATTTAAAGGATCCAAATATTACCTTTTTAGATGGTCCAAAAGGAAAAGGAATGTCACAAGGTTGGGTTCTGGAAGTGATAACAATAGATTCAACATGCAGCTTTCCTTTGCAACAGGATCTGAAAGTGCTACAAGACAGAAAATAATAAAACATTACCGTTGGCAGTGAATGAGAATTTGACTGTGTACTGGGTCTGGCTGGAATGTTAACTTTCCCAGCAGCAGCCCATAATTTACTGCATAATTTACCAAACCAACAGATATGGATGGTCCTGAACAGACTACTTGCATCACGAGTTAGAAGGTCAGAGTTGCACTGGATCTTTTCCCTTTATTTCTTAGAGGGGTAGAAAGAGAATCCTTTCCCCTCAAGCAGTTCAAACGCTTTCAGACATTTCATTAGGATCTTTTCATTAGGATGTTTTCCCCTGCATTAATATATTGCAAGGTATATCCCCTCCAAAAAGGGCTTCCCTGGAAGACCAAATGAGGAAAAAACAATACGCATAACCTCAACAAGGAGGCTGTCATTCTATTCTTAACCCGCCCTTCAGAAATCTCGACATTTTCAACTTATAAAAAAGCGTGGTGATTGCCCATCATCAAACCCAGTGCAAGATATCATTCCAGAGCTCATTTCTGAGCTCCACTTCATTTCCCTTACAGCTTGTTCCAGGCTTCTATCCAACATTATCAATATGTTTTTTGTACTGCTTCAGGAGCAGCCTCCTACAGAAGAGTGTCTTTAACACAGATGCTGGTTATCAAAGGTTATTTCTGCTACTACCTACCAATGCCCTCCGCAAAGTTGGGGTACAGTTCATCGGTAAAGAGTGGTTCAGGTAGTTCTCGGAAGTACAGTTTCAACGTGCCTGCAATGGCATTAACATCCATCTCGCTCATCATTACTGACACATCCTTGTTATCTGAAAGAGGGAAGAGGGGAAGTAGGGTAAATAAACTGCTGGCCTTGCATTTGCTCCTTTGCTTGCTTTGACTCTCTTTGTTTATCCATTGTCTTTGCCCAAACAGCTGAGATTTTTCCTGTTTACATTTCTCTGGATTAAATGAGCTAACTTCTGATAACTGAGAAGTGCTGCACAAATGACGGCAAACAATTTCCAGCTTAAAGTTAACTAGAGGGAAGTTCACACTACCCAGGGTTAGTTATGCTGCGCCAGCAATGGGCCTGATCTGGACCAGGCTCTGCATGACTATATTTATATGCACTTCAACTTCTTGTTATTCCAATTCCCTGCCTCAAATAGCTTAGAATAAGAGACTCTGAGGCTGTCTAATTCCCCACTGAGTGTAGCTAAAGAACACAGGCAATTCAGGGCTTGCATTTCAGTTTTGATGCTATTAAGAACAACAAAACCACCTCCTTTGCCAAAAACAAACAGGTCAACCAGCAGAGCCAGTGCTGGTTTCATGAAGGTTAGTGCAAAACAACATTTAATGTAAATGCAAAGAAGTTGTTTGCAAAATATGAAACACCCTTACTTTACTTTCACTACCGAGGATTCATAAATCAATTGTTTTAGTAGCTTAGTGGGATTGAAAAGAAAATGCAGGAATGAAGAAATTTCACAAGCAAACAAACGACAATGAAGAAAGTGCAGAAAGGGTGAATTCAGGCACCAAGCCTAGATCTCAGGACCACTTGCATCAAAAAGAGAGCTCAGTGGTCCTTAGGTCACCATGTGGGGACTGGAATTAGGGCAGAAACTTCACTTTTTGTACCACAGTGATCTGGAGGTGTTTCATCTGCCTGGTTTTGGATGCCTTTTGGGACACACGTCATTCCTTTAAACGCAGAACACTAAGGAGCACTTTTCTGCACAAGATCAAGGAAGGTTTTACAAATACCAGTATCTGATTTTATAGTCTGCACACATCAATTTAGCCACAGAGTCAAGAAAAAAAAAAAAAATCAAGAGCCCTGACCTTACATCTCCATTTCGGTAAACACCCTGTTCTTCCCAGCCAAGCTTAGATATTTTTTTTTTTAATTTTATATTTTTCTGGCTTCCTTTCACAAAGCATTCTCAAACAATTTCTATTAATTTGGAGACCTCACAGCAATAAGGAAAATTACAGCTTCTGATTGCTGCTACTTCCCCTGAGGAAGTTATCTGCCATTTACAAAGCCTTGGCAAGGCATGCAAACCCACCACATCATGTCTGCTGGGAGGAATAACAAATGTGTTATTTGGTATGAGGATCCATCCCGTTGTATGTCTTTGGTCATATCTGTAGCTGAAGAATATTAATAAAACATGCAGCCAGGGTTAAAATGATTCCCTGTGAGTGAAAATCTCTACCTCTTAATGCTTCTTGGGGAACAGAAGATTTAAAATAGCACAGCCATCTGACAGGGAGCTCATGCAGGTTCTCACAGCACAAAGGAAAACATCAGACGCAAATACTTACTGACATCAAAGGCAGCTTTCAGAGCCTGGATATCGGTTGCAACCCCAGAGACACGGTAGATGCCCACCTCCTCCATCCCACGTCGCTCTATCTCCTCCACACACTGGCGCACTATGTAAGGCACCTTTGATCTCTCTCTCCTTAAGAAAGCCAAATAGAAGAGTTCAGTGCAGCCCATGCCCTCAATTCCTGTTACCTCAGCCAGCCAAGCTGGCTGAAATCACCCTGAGATCACCCCCGCCGCTATGCTGTGCGGACCTCTTCTGAACAATAGGGTGGGAGGAAAGTCTAAGCAGGCAATCAAAACTGAGCTGAAAAACTCCTTTTAAAACTGGAGAGGGTTTTCTGAGGTCTCAGCCTGGCTCTGGCCACAGTGCAGCTGCCCAGAGTGCTAGAGCCGGGCCCTAGTGCCCCAGGAGTCTCCCACTCGGCCCAGGTAATCTGAGGATTCCCAAACAGCCCCACGCTACATAGCAACACTGGTGCTTTCAGATTAATGAAGTTCCAGAGGGAGGAAATACCACACTTCCCAAACTATTTGATGGAACAAACAGGTTTCTTCTGGCAAACAATTCATGACAAAAGATCAGGGGTTAAAACAATACAACAGGATCCAAAGAACTTGAACGTTTCCGATTATGGAAAGGAAATATCACTGTGTAGTGGCTCTGGAAATTTGTGACCAAGTCAGCTAACTACTGACTAAAAGGGCAAGGGGCATTTCCGGAACTCAGAGAAGTGATATGCTGAAAGTAAACACCCTGGGTTTCCAAGGCTGTGCGCATGTTGTTTTTTGACCCATGCAAAAAATGCAGCTCACAAAACGTCCGCCATCTCCCTTCTGCAGCAACAGCCATCTGCACTACTGCCCAAGTGAAGCAGACTGTACTGACAAATCCCTCAGTGGGGTAAAGACAGGTGCAACCCACTGGCTAATTGGCTTTCTAGCAAAGCAATAAGGAGAAATTCAACCCATCAGCTCACTTGGTGACAATAGCGATCTTGACCCCAAAGACCCCCGTCTGCTTCCGTGACGGCATCCTTTTCAGGCTAAATTCTCGACTGGTAAACTTCACCGACAGCTTCACTTCAACCTGAATAAAAGAGAACAGCTGTTACATTTCAAACAACATTTTCTTTTTTTTAAATGTTGCAATGAACAGCAAAGAAATAAACCACATCAAAGGTGCAGAAACAGTGCTAACTTCTGCTTTCTGTACTTACCCCATTCATCGAGATGACTGTGCGCTGCCAGTCTTTGTCCTGCAACGCCTGCGGGTCCAGCTGAAAAACATGGAAGTTACCATGAGCTAGGAACAGAATTCAGAGAAGTCAGCTAGCCTGAAAGGCTTCTGCAAGTGAGCAGAGCTCTACTACTTCCAATGTGTCATTTCATTTCCACAGGAAAAAAAAACACACATTCCAAGGTTTCTCAGGTTTTGAGTAACAGGATGCTCAGATATTGTGCCATTCTCTAAGCAGGCTGATAACTCATTTACATGGAAAATCTAGCAACATGCGTGCAGTATCTGCTCAACAACAAAGGAAAGCTCAGAGAGAAAAATCAATATATGAAAGCTAATAACCTCACATTTCAGAGACGGGAAGACTGCATTTATTGCTGCAGTACATGAGTGGACAGCCAAATTTGTCCCATCCCAAAGGGCTAGGAGTCAGCAACGGGGAATCATTTTTGAAAATAAGTCTGATTTGAAATAGAGGAAAATGATTTGTTTCCCTCTCTCTCCCAAGGAGCTAAGGGTCCCCATAAGTCAAGAAGGATCTCCTTTGTTCTCCAATTTCTTTCATAAAAGAGGCTTTGAAATTAATTTTCAAGGTTCAGAAGCGATATCAGACATTGAGGATTTGTATGTGTGTACTTATACACAGGAAACCCCTTGTCTGTGCGTGCATGTGTACTTGTATGCTTTACTTCAGTTTGGGAAGCCTTCTCATAGTTTCAACAATCAAAAAAGTTCATTAAATGTAAGCAGTGAAGCATTCAAAGCTGACATGAAAAGGCTATGACCTTTTGTATCAGTTCTCTTGTACTGAAAAGCAGAACTTTTGTGTAATTTGTTAGTTAAAAAAAGCACAAAAACCATCCACAAACATCTGCTCCAAATATCAAGAGAAGGCGAAGAGTTATCTGTCTCCTCTTTAAAAAACAACTTTGTCTTTTTCATTAAGTCTAATTCTGTCTGACCTGTCTAGGTTTACAATAGAATTATCACAGGAATGCCAGACGGACACATATTCAAAAAAAAACAAAAACAAAAAACAAAAAACACACCTTACAGTGGACACAAAAAGGGCTCTGTATTAAGCTCTCACATTTTTCTGTTCTGTAGTAATTTGTAAGCTTTAGATATTGGGCATTTTAAAAGTTTGAAATCATTCAAATGTCATTCATCACAGGACCATTCAAAATTCATTCATCACAAGGCCAGACCCTCTTTGCCCCTTGCGCACAAGCCTGAAGGAAGACAGAAATCTGCTACATCACAAAAAGGAGATGGTGAAGCTCACGGGCATCACGCATGAAAGAGAGATCACGGCTGCTGAACAGCATCTCCTGCAAGAGCTGCTCCTCCCACAGTACCATACAAAGCTCCAAATACATGGCAGAAATCAGATGCTGCAATCTGGTCTCAACTGGGGAAAGTGGACTGCAGTCTTCTAGAGACAGCTGGGGTTGGATGAGTGAGAAATTATTGTACTGAAATAAAAAGCCAGACTTAAGAACTTTATAGCTCTTGGCTATGAAGCTAATAGCTTCCAAGGAGGACTCTGTTCCACTGAATTTGGAAGATATAATGACCCTACAGTGAGACAAAGAGAAATATAAAGTAATCCATACAGAGACAAGTAACTTTAAACAAACCAAACCTGTGTCAGGTTCTGACAGCGAAGGAAGCCAGCTGAAACAGAGAAAGGCAGCCCAGGAATCATGGCAAGCTGTCCCACTTTGACCTGCCTATTATTTTCACTTCACTTTGAGCACAGAGGCAGGAAGAACACCTGGCCCTGCTATTTCAAGAATTCACTAACTAGAAACATGTTGTGAAGCAAAGCTCTGAGCTCCCATTTTCAGCCTTGCTTGACCTCCTTTGAGTGGCCAGTTGCAGGCTGGGGAGCAGCTGGCTCAAGCACTCAGACCTAACCCAGCAATTCCAGTGCTGGCTGAAGAGTCCAAACACATCTGATTTTGCTGAAGAGCAGCACTCAGCTCAAGCTACACTGCCAAAAGAGAAGAGAGCTTCCTGTGGGGGGGACTGCTATCAGCAACCAGAACCCAGCCAAAGCAAGCAGACTTCAGCACCTCCTGAGATGGCTTTGGGACCCTTGGCTCTGGAACACCTGAGGCACAGTAAGAGTGGAAGGAAGCAGCTGCTCTAGACTCTGTGTTGGGAATTTACTGTTATCGGCAAGCAAAGACACCAGGGCTATTTCTGCAGCACAGCTCCTCTCTCTTGCAAAACCCCATACAAAAGCAGAGTTCTCTGCAGGGCAGAAGTAAAAGTTGAAACAACGGTAGCTCCTGTATATTCTGGGAGAGCTTAGATGCAAGCATGCTCACACTTTCTTTCAATTCATCGATAAACGAGCCCAGTGCTGCTGTCAGCTGCAGAGATGACACTTCCCACCACCCCCTGCACCACTTCCCCCAAAAGACAACCATCACAGAGCAAATTTTCTCCCCGCTTGCTCACACCACAGAGCCCCCATGAAGCAACAGACGAGCAAGTCAGGCCAACCTTATCTCCGCGCACTTTGTTACGGACGTGAGCCCACAGCGGGATGCTGCCAGCACACACCAGCCTTCCTGTCGAATTGGACCGGTTCCTGTAGGTGCAATTGTGGCAGAAATTCCTGAAGACCTCTTGTAAGGAATAGTCTGCGACCAACAGCTCCCACATTTTGGGACTGCAGAAAGGTCCCTGAGGCCAACGGGCAGCAGTGCTTAGCTTCAGCGCCTCATGCAAACCCAAATAACAGCCTGCTTGCCAAGAGGGTTTGCTTTTAACTCTGGCGGAACAGATCCGCCCCCGCCACTGTGGCTGGCCAAGGTCCCTACAAGTTGGCTAGAATCTAGGCTGTTCTCCCCTGAATTTCCGTGCTGGAAGTTTGGTTCCTTTCAACTACTGCATTCTTTCCCAGAAGCGAGAGGAAACCATTTCTGAAGTGTTTGGTTTCCTATGAAGAGGAACCATGCTCAGTATTCCTGAAAACTTGACCTCCAGCTGCCTAAAAAGTCATCTTGTTAAGCTGCCAAAATGGCCCTGCTGATCGTGCAGTCACAGCTAATCCTCCAAGTCAGAAACAGTTTTCTATATGCTTTTAGAAAGGAGTCACCAAGAGTGTTTTATTTGTAGCAGAGACTGCTTAAGATTTCAGGGAAAGGAGGGTTTTGAATATTTGCGAAAAAAGTTACAGGAAGATTCCAGCATGGCCTGGGTTATTTAAGCTAGCAGGAATTACCAGTTATGGCTAGATAATGAACAGGGAACTCCTACCACTATACAAAACAAAAGCAAGTCAATAAGACATTAAAAATATGAGTCAAAGCCCAGCTCTGTCCCCACAGTGAACGTCACATGGCTGCAAAGAGCTAGCAAAGGCAGTGTCCTGCAGCTGAGAGCTCACAGGGACACTTCCTTGCTGGGTAACAACTGAGGCTGAGCAAGGACTGCTGCAGTACGTGCTGCCACCCCTTGCTCCCTGATCTCTGCACTCTGTTGCAGGGTTGGAGGGACCCCTGTGCTCCCCTCCTGCGGGCTGGCTCTTGGCAGAGAACAGCTTGCTGCGAATGGAGACAGGTGGGGAGCACGAGCACTGGGCAGGGGGTCTGGCTGACCGGTGCCAGCCCTGCATAAAGCAATGGCAAGAGCAACAGCAATAGAAAACACCTCAGGTACAAATTTTTAAGTAACAAAGCCAAGTTAATGGAAACTAATAACAAGACAAAAGCTTGAATAAGTTCTCAGCAATACTGAGTGAAACAGGAAGATCAGGTCTCACAGTCTGATAAAATCACAGTCGGAAATAACAGAGTCAACAGGAAGCACAGATCGTCATTTACACTTGGAGCAAGCTTTTGGTCCTGGGCCCTACAGACGACTGACCTTCTAAGGCCAGCAAGAGCAGCAGCAGGAAAGGGCTGCTGGAGCAGACAGGTTACAGACCAGACCGGAGACAAAGAGTTAGCAAGCATGATGCTCCAGCATGCAGAGAGCCTGTGACAAATGGGGTCATGCTGTCTTTTGGCCTGATTTGGAGAGCAGTGACCTGGAAGAAGGAACACCGAGTGAGAGAATGCAACGGCATACAGAGTGCCAAAAGGAGGCTGCTCCGAGCGAGCACACAGCACTCTCTTTACCAGCCCAAGGAGCAGGCAGGCACTGTGAAATGGCTGCCTCTGCATTCATTTGACAGTGAAATTTACTGCACCTTTAAATATTTCCTTCAAACAGTTACTTGGTTTGAATGACGAAAGGCCCTGTTCTCATCCCCACTAAAATCACGACAGATTGTGTTGTGCTTCTACAACCGAGGCACATAGGACAGACCTGCTAAGAGCCTCGTGGGCTCATTCGCGCAGTCCCCACCACAAGCACATGCTGCACAGGAAAAATACAGACTAGGCTGTGCTCCTCTGGCACCTCCAGTCCTCTTGCGGCCTGTTTTTTGGCATTTGCAGCGGCAAGCTACAGCCCCAAATTCACTAATGAATCAAGCAAATGGCTCTCTGTATCCTGCACAAAACACAATAGAACAAAGCCGCTTGGCACCACGGGGATTTCTGAGTGCAAGGTTCTAGCACTCATAGCAACTTAGCACTGAATTAAGACAGACAATTAGTGTACAGAAGTCAGCAGAGGCTGAGCGTGCAGAACACAAAGTGATGGGGACCTGGGAAAAAGGCGAACTGAGGACACTGGTCAACAGCAAATGCAAGCCAGGCACTAAGCAGGCAGTCTGTGCTCTGCCTTAAGAAACCACCACAGACAGCTTGCTGATTTATTTTTTTTCCCCCCAAAAAAAGAGAAAAGATTACACACAGAAAGAGGGAAAGAAAAAAAGAACAACGATGCATCAGTGGAAGTGAAATGCCTGGCAGCAAGTTCTGAGGCAACCTTAAAGTTAGTGTGTTTTATGTTATTTACTCGCATTACTTCCTCCCTTTATTAAATCTCCCTGGCAACTTTACACTCCATCAATTTTTAATTGTAACTGATGTGACATACATGTTGTCGGAGTCTCATTGCTGCTGGAAACTCCCAGTCCAGCCACAACCCCATTCTTCTCAAAGCTCCCCACTGACATGTTAATCTTTTCCGCCATCACCCTTTGGATATGACCCATTGCCTTCTTCATTTCCACCCAATTTTATTGCTGGAATACTGTTCTGCATGAGCAAACTGTTCAAAAGAACTCAAGTGTGTAAAAGGTTTTCTGAGTTGACACTTCGGAGGTAGTGCATGTGACTATGTTTTACATGGAAAACAACCTAGATGTCTGCGATTGCCATGTGCGCTGCTATGAGACGCCCCAGATAATTAAGCAGATAAGAGTGATTGTTTTGCATGGCAACAGAGGAATGGTGGCGGGTTGCTACCACTGAATGACTGATCTAAGGTCATATCCTCTCTGATTTTCCAGCACTCCTGCGAGGGAGAAGGAAACAATTTGTCTGAGCTGATCATGCAGAAATTAAAAAAAAAAAAGTAACAAAGGAAGCCGCACATCTAGGAGGCACCAACTGGAGGAGATGGATCACAGGATGAAGCATCAGTTTACTCATGCAGTCTGTTCCCAGTGCTGAGGCCAGTTTTGCTGACATACGTGCTCGCCTGGATGCAGGGTCTCAAGACCAAACAAAAGGCTGCTACACTCAAAACATGGGGAGGTGCCTGCCTCAAGAAGTACAAATTCAAAGAGCAAAAGGGCCGGCCACCCAAGTACCAAAGATGGATTGCAAGGTAGCAACAGAAAGAAAAATAGTTCAAAATGAGGGGCAAACTGATGCTTAAAACTGAACTAAGCCTCATGCTTCCTGCTATAAAATGATGTCTGTTTCCCCCCCTACTCCAAACTCCCCAACAATCTTGGTTTCATTGTACCCAGCAAGGGCTCCTTCTCCCTGTGTATTTCTCTGAAATATAAGAGAAGCCCCCACCCATGCATACACACTAGTGAAACAGCTGCACATCCAGTGCTGCCATTTCCAGGTCTGATGAGGATTTCACTTCTCTGTGTACCAGAAGTGCTCCCATATTAAAATGTTTTGGTTTTACTTTTGAGGGGAAAAACTTGCAGATTGGCAAGCCTCAACACTCTTGAATGTGGCTATAAAAATAGGTAAACAAAATATTCTATAGAAAGAAAAAAATAGAAGTAATGGGAGCTATTAAAATCACTGCCCATTCCTGGAAGCTTCTGACTACACGGACCAATTTTCAGTTTTCCTTCCTCCAGTGCCATTATGTCATGGAGAGATTCAGTAAACGTTTCACAGCCAAAACAGCCCTCGTCTCCTTGATGCATTGTCTTCATCTTTGCAACCCAGAAAACTTGGTGAGTCAGAAATCCCAAACTGGGAAGTTGCAGATTTACAATAACACATGGCTTAACAATACATTACGATTTAGCCAACACAGAAATTTTCCTGTTTTCATAGCAGGAACATGCAGACACGATTCTTGACATTGTCAGAGTTTTTAACTATAAGGAATTTTGGAAAAAACTCGCCTTGCTTCACAGACCTTGCCTTTAGGTAGGCTGGACTTTGGCCGAATAACAACAGTGACAACGAGAAGCCACAGATAAAAACAAAATGGAAAATCCTACATACACTAGAATTTCTAAAGAAAACAAAACAACGTAAAAACCTGGGAAAATCCTGAAAGAAAATTAATATAAAGCTATGACAGGAAAAGATGATGACAGCATTAATACAGCTAACTCTAAGTCACAGATTCTTAACACAGATTAATTTAAGTATAAAATGCTTTAACAAAATGTACATGTTCTGTGCATAGAAATGCCTACTCTTGTGGGGAAAAATGTTCAAAAACTTAAAATCTTGTATCACTCTATGTAAAACATTTGAAGAATTTACAGGGTCAGTGATTCCAGAGTTCTCTAATGAGAGCACACAAATCTCCAGGGCATTTTAGGGCTGAAAACTTGCTTTTTTGTAGTTGCTCAGCTCCACAGAAAATCAGCTTTTGTCAGCAGAAGGGACATGCTTATCTCTGATTAGCCTGAGAGATGTACATGGGAGTCACCCTGTACTTGAAAACATAGATACAAACCAAGACATTACTTCAAACACCCACCATGCATTTGGTAGGCAAGGCTTTCCCTGAAAATAGCATGGCAGCTTTGGGGCTGCAAGGAGGGAGGGAAAGGAACAGACCTCATGAAATTCATTTAGACAATGAACCCTTCTAGAGAAACGGTGAGATACAATCCTGCAAGCCACCCTCAATCAGAGCTGCTTCTGAAATCCCACAAATGACCTCAGCTTGTGCGATCATCACTCAAACGCTGGAGAAAGCTGACATCTAAGAAGTGGTGAAGAGCTAAAGGTAAATGATGGAGAACTGGGGATATTTTTCAGTGTGCCAGTAAGGAAAAGATATCTGGGCAGGGTCTCTGCTGCTTACAACAACCAGTCCAACTTAAAGAATGCATCCTCAGAGCAAATGTTCAAGCACTCCGCCTAAAGCTGTGCACAGACAGTGCAACAATCTGGAGGAAGAGCAGGAACACATGTTCACCATGACATCCTCCACTGAGGGGCCCTATTTCTCCTGTATGGTGCTTTAGTTCTTTATCACACAGCAGCTCCCTGAGAGCAGCATCCGCTTGCAATCATCTCATCGCCTCCCCTATCATATTGCAAATTTGCCACAGAGACAAAGTGTCCCATGCTGATTCACAGTGGTGGAAAAGTTCAAATAATCCATTTATCTCAGAGGCAGCCTGTTGTCATGGACACTAAACTCTGGACACGGCAGTTATCAGGACAATAAGCCTGTCCTCCAAGGCCTCACTAGCACATCAATCAACTTCTAGCACATAGGGAAGATAGCGTTCCTTCAGCACGTTTTACGGAGGGTATAGTATATTCATTACTTCCTCTTTTTTCACAAATGGAGTGTCCTCAACAGTGCCCAGGGCTCAGTGACCGTGTAGTTACTGTATGTTCTGCTAGACGTTTTGAATTTAACAGAGAAATCAGAGATCAAAATTAATTTTCTCCTGATAAAGCATCTTTTCTACAAGGATATTGAAGCAGACATGGGGACAAGACAAGAGGGAGAAGGCTGCTGACTTCCTGCCTGTGAATCACACTGTATTCCTCACTGGTTGGAGGAAAAAATCTCCATGATTCTCAAAATCAGAAGGCGGAAAAACCTCTCTGGGGCACTTCCATATTCAAAAGCCAATTATGATTTGCAGTAAGGGTAGCAGGAATTAGTTAAGCACAGTCTTACCTGGATCTGTCCTTTCCCCATTATGCGATCTGTGCTTTCTCCATCCTCTTTGGTGAGCTTCATTTTGTTGTAGCACTTTTCATAGCACAGAATCCGCAGAGTTTGTGAGCCTTCCAGCTCAATTTCAAACTCCTGCAGGGCACCAGGAAAGGAAAGAGCAATGAATACACCACAGCAGGACACCAGTCTCTTAATAATCAAATAGAATCTCCTTAAAACTCATCAGGAATGAGCACTTCAAGTCTGACAAAAACCTCCTCCCTAATGCAGGCAGTCTAGGATTAAACTGGAATTGTATTTTGTATATACAAGATGGCCAAATCAGAGACTAAGATGCTTGACTCCTTAGCCAGGTTTCAGTAACACATCATTCAAAGAAACAAATTCACCCATGTTCCGTATATTTAATTTTGCTCTCCAGCTGGTTTGCAAGTTGGCAATAAATAGGTATAATGTCTAATTCTTCCCACTCATAACAAATAAATAAGGACACCTCCAAAGAAACCTCCTTTTTCAGTGTATTTTCACTGATGTCTTAAAAAATAATCATACTTACCTTTTTAAATGATGAAATGCTGGACAATGCAAGACAAGTTTGTACTGAAATCTTTGTTTAGCTATCCAAGAAAAATCTGCCACAAGACCTGAGAGCCATGTGAACCTGCTAAGGATGTGCTGAGAGGCAGCACATGCAGCACAAGTCCAGAACATGCAGCATGGGCTGTGGACAAAATGTTCTTTCATTTGTAGTTTTTCTGCTCATGAACTGATGGAACAAGCCACATTAAGAAAACTCAACCTACCTCGTTCCAGTTGGGCTCCGTGGTGTCTCTGTAAACTCTAGTTTTAGCCTTGTTCACGAAATACCCAAAAGAATCCACCTCTAATGTGCAGTACAAATCTGAGGAGGGAAGGAAGATGCAGAAACTTTAAAAAATTTCTAGGAACTCCTATCTTTTCCCAAGTTTTAGGGTGTTACTTTATTTATATTTTCTCTGTATTAGCAGCTGTAGCACTGGCCAGGGCAAGTTTTGTCATCTGGACCAGCAGAGTTGCTTTTATGCAGTTGAAGTACCAGTACAGTGGTATAAATAACTTCATCACAGACAAGCCCTTCATCTATAACATGAGTCTGTTGTTTGCTATCATCCAATATTTCCCAGATCAATCCACAATGAGCAGACGGTGTACACCAATGAGAAATGAAACTTCCCTAGGTAGATACTGGATCTCATCAACCCATCAGAGCTGATTTCACTGACAATGGCATCAGCATAATATTCCTCAGAGACTAGGTTAGGGGCTAGCCATCAAAAACTCATTATCTCCACAAAGTGATTAACTGTGTGGTATCTAGTGTTTTTGAAGGACTAGTAGTAAGCTGCAGACTTTGCCCCTATTTGTATGTTTTAAGTTATGTTAGCCAGCTTCATTGCATTCCCCTAAATTTATATCAATATCCTGACTTCACTTCCAGTTCTCCAAATCACCTCCTCACCATCATCCCAAATGCTGCAATCCTAAATCAATCCACGACCAGCTGTCACAGCACCTGAATTTCCTCACCCCTACGATCTAACCTTGATCAACACCTCTGTATTAAAGAGCTGCAACTCACTTGAACTTTGTTTGAATCCTGTGGCAGAGTGGACGATGACATTCAGGAATCCGTAGAGACCTGGGGATTCATCATCTGTGCAAAAGAGGCAAGGAATTCTGTTAAGTTCACAAAGAAGTCAAGTGAGAAGGACAGTGATGAGCTGATTTTACACAAGTTTATGAGCACAGATTGACACAGGTTTATGTTCCTAAAAACAAATGTGGCAGGAGCATTTAACCTAGCTGGTTTACTAAAAAGAGAAGGGGATATTGTTCCAGGTTCAGTGTCTTTTTCACCTGTAATATCTTCTGGCAGTTTTGGAGTTTTACAATGCCACTTTTGGGGTCAGCATGACAGCATGGAAGAGATTCAAAGGAGAAAAGTAAAAATAAAAATGCCACATCTATACTACCAGGTTACACAGTAATAAACGATGGCCTTTGACAAAGTTTTGACCGAGGATAACCAGAATTCTTCCAAAGGATTCCCAGGCATAGTTCAAAGGTGTCCCAAGCCAGGGCTCTAACAGGCATGCACATCCCGGCATGATGGCTGTGTGCAAAATCTATTTAGTAATCAGTGGATACATACTGGAGGATGTCCAGGAATATTTTACTGATTCAAATGAAGACATATAATTTGGAGCTTGTTTTTTTTCCTTTTTGTTGTTGCAGCAAACATTGGGATCACTAATTGCTTTCACTCCTGCTGTTCTCTTTTCGCATGCTATCATCTACTTCAAGTAAGCTACAAAAGTTGGCTACATAAGGTCTCAGCTTTTGATTTACAGGAACCATCAGTTTGTAAATCATCACCAGGCTGTAGCAGATAGAAGCAGTAAAAGCAAGTCTAGGGGAAATGCACAAAGGCAGACACAGATAGATTTTCTTTGCAGATACACCATAAGAAAGCACAAACTAGAGGTCTCACCTTCCTTGTTGATAGTGAGGGGAATGTTGTGGACTGTTTGAAGTTTCACACAGGAGTTGGTCAGCATCTGAAGTTCCACTGATGTGAGCGAGAAGCTTTTAAAGCCTGCCATGGAGATTCAAAGGAAGAGGAATTAAAATTCAAAGCAAAAGCTGGGCTCTCTCATTTTGGACAGAATACCTGCTCCCTAGACATTGCTCAGCAATAGTACCATGGTGTTCAGGTCTGTACTGCTGCTGCAGCCCATCTCCATTTAGGGCACAATCGTTTAGTCCTTGCAGTAAAATGTCTCAGTTGTTCGAAGGAAGCAAGGGGCACTCATATTCTTGCAAAGCCAAAAACCACCCATGCCAGAATAAAAGTTTCTTTGGACTAAAGCCAGGTGAAAGGGTGCAGCTGTTCCCTCCACCTGGAGCTGCACACATCTCTGGGGTAAATTGGACAATCTCTCCCCGCGCATTCCCTACATGGTACTATAGTCAAAGTTTCCCTAAAGAGGCTCAGATATGCAAGACAAAAGACATCCATGTTGCACTATGAATTTCAATGCGTGGTCCTCTTTTCTCAGGAAACTCTGCCCAGACCTCACCCTCTGGACTCCTGCTCTTGGATCACAGCATTTGTACCAATGCCCAGCTGAGGGTCACTCACATTTCTTCTGCTGCTCACGGATGTTCTCCCTCCACTCTGCCCTTTCATAGTCCGATGAAATGAGGAACGTGTAACTCTACGCGGGAAAACAGAAGAACAAGTCTGACAGAAGTTTCAGAAGAAACAGAAGTCTGACACGCCATTGAGAGCAGACCTGCCTCCAACATCTGCAGTGAAAATTCTTAGCTATATTGTCCTTCTAGTACTACTGCCACTTGCCCCTACATCACAGCTTTGTCAGTGACAGTGAGGACTCCAGCAATGTGCCTTCTCAGCAGTGTGCCAGTGGTACCAACATGGGCTCCTGCTGTCAGAGCTTTCACAGAGCTCCACCCTGCAAGGAGCAGCTGTGTCCCTGGCAGCATGGGGTCCCATGGTATTCCTTGTAACAGTTGCACCATGAAACCCCAGAGCCTCTATTGCAGGCCAAGAGGCTGATGCAAGCTGAAGAAGCAGGCACCAGCTTGTGAATTTTCAATGACTAGTAACAGGATCTTGGGAGCATCCTTTGTCTTTGTGTGTGTAAAGGCCACGGTGAAAAGCTCCAGTACTGCCAGAGCAGGTGATACCTCTGGCACACTGAGCATCCTGTGGAGCTAAAAGGAGATTGTTCACAACCATTCAGCATCCCCGCTGCCAAGCGAAGCTTTTTGTTAGATGAAAAGAGCATTTCCTATCTCTCTGCCAGGGCAGGTCCATTTGTATATGGCATATACAGGCACACAGACACACACAATCCTTTGACATCTGTCTTGTACACAGGGCCTGAGGCAGACCAGAAAAGCCACTCACCTTGCCATTGCGATTGTGTACCCGGAAGGCCATGTTGGGAGACATCAGCAGTAGGAGTGATTCCTGCTCTGAGAGCTTCTTTTTCAACCTCTCAATGACCTTGCTGCCCTTATTGGCTCTCTGAAGGGTGGGGGAGAGAGGGAGACAGAGGACATGAATGTCATTCTCCTACAGCTGCCCCAATTTATGCCAACACACATTTTCAGACCCATGGTCCCTTCCCTCTGAAAGTAGCAAAATGGCCCCAGGCAGGAGAAATGCTGTCAATAGGATTCACAGGGCTCCAGCTGCTCAGGAAGGTGTTATCTCTGCAATATCTCTTCAGCCAGACTTGACTCTGTGCCCAGTCTCAGCTGCCCCAGATTTAGGTGCAGGGCTGCATGCCCACCACCCCAATATTTTCTGTTCTAGAGTCCGCAGGCAGCATCCCATCACTGGGCAGCCACAGCACTGCCAGGTCCTCCACAAGCATCCTTAGTCAAGGAGAGTGAAGGCAACTTCTCTAAAAGCTGCTCGGAACTCTATCACCAAAATTCTTTCCCATCTGCTACCTACCAACGCGTTTTCAGAGGTCAGCTAAAACACGTTTGTGTTTTTTTTTTTTTTTTTTTCTTGGATAAAACCCAGCCCCAAAGCCAGCCACGTACATTGTTTGGCACTGATGCACCAAAACGTGTTTCCTAAACACCTGCGTCTTGTGAGTAAGAGGCTTCCACACCGTGTTCCTCCTAGTATCTCACATTTTCCAGGAAACCCTCTCTGAAAGCTAGCCAGGGCAAAGGCACAAGAAGCATGTTCTTTGGAAGTGCAGGGGATTTTCTTCTCATGGTACAAGTAATTTTATTCATATCCTTCTCTACATACCGTCAGGCTTTTAGTTTTCAAAGACTTTTTTCTCATTTGGGTGGCAGGATGGTTCAAAGTCTAACAACTCTGAGAAAACGTGCCTTGCAAGCAAAGACAAGCCTGGGCCAGAGACACCACATCTTTGTCATACTGTCCAGTCAGAATAATTTGTATTCTCTTTATATATTGCTGTTGCTTTGACACTGGTGAAGTCAGAAAATGCTAGAAAAGCATAAGTGAGCCTGCAAAAATTCCAAAGTACATGCTTCTGACCAAATTCACTTACAGGATCATACTCAGACAGCCAGAAGTCAGACTTCCTAAGAAGTGCTATGCCACACTCCCAGTCCTTCTCGTGTCTACAGCATAAGAGCTCTGCTCTCCACATGAATGCCTGGATAAAGCAGTCACATGTAGTCCCATGCAAGTAGGGAAGCTACTGGCTACCATAAAGCATCTTTTGCAGTTCCTGCATCCTCAAAGGACACCATCATTCAAGCACTGCACTAGGATGAGCAACAATGGGCTACGCAGCAGTCTAGATATCACTGCTAACAGAGCTGCACCACAAATCTCTGCTGGGTGGTCTCTGCAGGACTCCCCATGCTGTGCAGCTCTGGGAACGCTGCTTCTATCAGCATCTGATGTCAGCAAAGATACTGAATCTGTTCTATGCTTTGGATTGGAGCAGTCAACCCCTTTTTACCTTTTCACGCTGGATGTCATTCTTGATCTGGGATATCTTGATCTTCATGGCATCCAGCTCCTCATCAGGCACCAGTGGGATGTTGGGCACTGCCTCAGACTCATCCACCATTTGGAAACTAAGGTCCGTGAGTGGGATGTACCATTTGCAGTCATACTGCTGGCTTTTTCTGAAAGACAGAAGTTCCAAACCTTTACTACTACTGGTGCTTAGCAACACCCACTCCCCCCCTTCCCACGAGCCTTTCCTCATTATAGTTCAGAAGATACAGAAATGGGCACAACTTCACTGTGACTTCCAGGTGGAAAAAATCTGGCAAAAGGCTGCTTTCCAGTAAGAAACTGGAGTATTCAACTGTCATTGCTGGCTAAACCGAGAATTATGCTGAAGCTGAGATGCAAAATACATAGTCCAGAAAGGAAACCTCACCCTCCAATCTGCTTCTTGAGCTTGGCACACAGGAATAGATCAGTAAAAAGAAAGACATGACGGAGTTTGCGAGCCCCCTCAACTAGCTCCACCATGAAGCTGTCCTTCAGGAGCTGCCGGTGCTGGTGAAAAACAGAGAAAATGTTTTGGTTAGTGCAAGAAGGGCCCAGGTAAGGCACTGAGCCCCCTCAGCAACACACTCCATACTCCTTATGCATGACTCCTACCAGAGCCAATTGAGTAAATTGTTTCAATACAGAGAAAAAAAAAAAAAAAAAAGAAAAAAAAAGAGCTGTTAAATGCTCCTTATTGCAAGCTCTGCTCCCTGCTGTTGCCTTCTCTCCTAGGGGCAGCAATGGCCAGGCACCTCCTTCCTCATCTGGTTCCAGGTCAGAGCTGAGGCTTATTTCCATCACCTGTCTCTGAGCCCGTGTAATTTATGGTGAGTCATTGCCTGGCTTCTCCATACCACGATCGCTCCCAGAACATCATCCCCCCCACAAACCAGTAGAGAGCAGCAAACACCACTTTTCTATCCGGGCTTTCCCTGCCCTCCCCAGGAGTCACTTTCCCAGCTATTGGGTGCAGCTGGAGCTATGAGGAGCCTACCAACACCTCCATTCCCAGCAGCATTAACAGCTGAATGCCATTGCTGCTTCTTTATTATAAGTGCTGTGCTGTTAAGGGATGATTCCTGACCAAAATGTGTACCTAGCAAACTCCTCAGTAGTCCCTTACCAGCCTGTGTTTAAACAGGACCATCTGGATATGTCCCCTACCCCATGCCTGTTAAAAGCCTTTTTTTTTTTTTTTCCCCCTCAAGTCAAACAAACATTCCTCAAACCTAGATGATGTAAAGAAAGTGCCTAACACTGATGTCATTATGTCTGCCTCTGGTTCCAGGAAGCTTTACAACCTTCTACATGAGACACACACACTGGAGGGCAGAAGCACCTCTTTCCTATTGCCCTTGCAGGGGCTCTGCAGCTGACAGACAAAGTCTGGAGCGCTGGCAGTGAGGCAGATGGGTCTGTGCTGTCACCAGTGACCAACTCAGGAGTTTCAAATGCTGCTCCATGCTCAGACCTTCTGTTCTGATGTGTCAGGATCAAACAGAGTTTGAGTGCACATCTGGAAGAATAGAAATCTCCCACTGGTTTTCAAACAGAAGTCAAGGGTATGAAACTCCGGGCAAATTCCTATAACTGTCAGTTTTGCCTTGCTTCATGGCCAGTACAATCAGTCACTGTCAACGTATCCATGCAGCTCTAAGACAATTTTTCCTGACCCACAGTATTTTTCCTTGCTATTCCAGCTAGGGGGATGCTCCCCTGATACCAGGGGAGTGACACAGCACACGTGCTGTACACGCCATGACAACGTCACGGCTGGAGACTGGAGAGATCTAACACTGCCCAACGCTCGCCAACACCCCCTCCTGCTGTTTCACTGCCAGCCTTCTCCAGGCCCACGCACGACTTGTCAGTAGGATTCACTGCTGGCCTGCAGCAGCTCTGCAATCACCACACATGCGAAAGCTGTCCTCCTTTTCCAAAGGCAGCTCTGCTCCGGTGTGCAGTAGGAAAGCAGTTAACCTGAGCAAGGTCAAGACATCCAAAGCAGAATCGTGCCTCAGTTTCTCTGGGTTATGCCTCATGAGTTTTATTTGCTGCATGATATAACAAGCCTTGAACACGTTTACTGCAGAGAGTGGGAGTGCAAACCCCCGCACTGCCTCTCCTTCCTCCTACCATCCTTCCCATCTCAGCTCTCCAACTGAAAACAAACCACATCAGTCCCGAGCCCAGCACACATCATGGCAGGAAGCACAAGGGAGAGAAATGTCCTTGCAGACATAATTCTTGTTTCCACAGTCTGTCCTAGAGCACCCCAAACTTCCTGACATGGGTAAGAGTCTGCGTTTTACTGTCTGCAGCTGCACTAGCACCACAGCAAGCTGCTGAAGCACAGATAGCGTCAGCATCTCATCTTGGGGCCACCTGCCAATGTACAAAAGTCCTGGGAATCTGCGAGCAGCAGCAACCAAAGCTGCACCTTCCCCATAGTGCCAGGAAGTTAATGCTGCTCCCCAGCAGACTCTTGTACCATCTCTGGGCATGAGCCTGTGGAGATCTGGTATCCAGCAGTGATTCAGGCTCTGAAAGGCCTGTACATATGTTAATGTTTATTTTTAGGTGGGTGTGATCCTCCTGGCTTCTCCTCGGTGGTTTTGGAGAGAATGCCTGCCTGCATTGATGTCGTTGCTAATGATGTGCACTTGTGCATGCCTCCCCCCTCCTGCCCAGTCAACAAATCCCAGGTAGGCAGGAAACAGGAAACATCCAGCTTTAAAAATAAATAAATAAGAAGGAGGTATGCTGTCAGTAGCAGAAACACTCTCCACAGCTGCAAAGAATTTCATCTGGGGGCATTAACAAAGCAGGGAAAGAGATTTTCTGAACAAGCCAAAACCCTGATCTCAGGTTGGTAGATCTGATGAATATTAATTATGCTGCAAATCAGCTCAGCTCCTCCGGGGCAATGAGAATAGCTGCTTGTTGCCAGCTCAACCTCAGCCCATTGTTCTTAGGTGTAAAGATGTTCTCTCAACTCACTCACCTCTGCTACCCAGGCAGGCACGTGCCCCAGGCCTGACCTGCTTTGTGTCTCCCTTTTGCGAGACACTGGCAGGTGTGTTTGGCTTCCTGTACCATCACCTAGACCACAGTATTTTGAAGATATGCATGTCTTCAAGTGAAGGGATGCCCATAAAGAGGCACCAGTGACTGGAAGTCCTGGTGTCAAGCCTCCACAAAGCAAGACTAGGTGAGCCCATCGCTGTTCCCTGCAGCAAGGCCACAGACCTCCTCACACAGCCTGCCTGCTCCACCCAGTCGACCCCTTCTCCTGTGTCTAAATTTGCACCTCATCTGCGACTGCACGGTCTTTGGCTGTCATCATCTGAGCAGAATTTCTCCAGGCAGCCCTGCTCTCTGTCCCACATCTCCCCAAAACCCAAGCAGAAAGCTCAGCTATACAATGCCAAAACAGGGGTGTGATTTAACAGCCTTCGTACTTCCCATCTGGGACTTGGGTACCCCTTCTTTTGCACTGAGTTTATTTTGGCTGGCACTCCTGGGTACAAATTACCCAGGCTGACAAGACACAAGTTTTGGCAGCAGGATCTCTCAGCAAGAGAGCTGGGAAGAAGACAAGGCTGTAGTTCCTAAGCTTGACTGGAAGAGAAGTGAAGAGGTGAAAGGGATGTATTCCAGTCATCCACTTGGAGGGAAACACTAAGCTTCCTTGAGCTTTCATTCTTCATTTCTTCTCACTCACGAGCTAGGTGGGAAGGTCTCCCACAGGGAGCCACAATGAGCAACCAAGGATCCAGGAAGGAGAGGACAGGAGAAAGGGTTTGCGGATCAAATCATGAGGGTGTGGAGCTTGATATTAGATCTAACTACCAGCTTCTCTGGGAAAACAGGATTTTCATTAGGGCTGGCCACAATAGGCATGCACCAGGCTGAGCAGCATCAGTGGAGCAGAGGAAGAGCGCTTCCAGCAAAGGGTCACATCCTTTGTTGCAAATGATTCATCTTGCCGGGAGGGTTCAGCAGGTCAGTGGGAAACAATAAAAGCGTTTCCCAACTGGCTTACCAGATCCCTGCCAAGCCACAGTGAGGGAGCGCAGGGCACCTTCCTGACCTCCCGGCATGAGTCAGCCCATCCTATCCCGCCCTGGGGGAGCCAGCAGCCCTCTCAGGCAGCACTTGTGCCCGTCAGGTGCGCAGGCCACCTCAGCTCCACCGGTCCTCTCTAGCATTTTGGGCACCAAAGCCCACCTTGGTCAGCTCCCACCTACAGGCAGCAACTGCTGTTCCTTCCGTGGCCTCTTGCTAGACAGGGTCTCCTGAAACACAAGGTCTTTTGGCTTGTTGATCCTGCTGTATGAGATGTACAATACCTCATGTGTTTCCTAAAACAGGCTACACAGACACCAAACATCAACAAAATGTGAGCTTAGTATCAGAGTGGCAGTGTGATTCCCTCTCTTCCACAAACAGCCCTAGTACTAGCAGGTGTCCAGCCCAGGAGCTCAGCTCAGCTACAGAAAGATGTTTGTGGAGGCCTAAAGGAAAATCTCACATTTTGTATCAAAATGGGGTGAATTAGGATCACCTTTAATCTCTTACACAGGGCCTGGGCCCTGTCACCTCCACAAAGCTGTTGTCAAGCTCCTGCGCTGGTGCAGTAAAAGTCCCAAGTCTCCTTTCTAGACCCTGCTTTCCTTTTCATGTTTTTACCTGCTTCTTCTCCCACCCATCTCAGTGCTCTGGACAAAAGAGCTCTCCCTCTACATCCTTCAGTGCCTGGATACCTCTTTGGATTGCCTCCTGCTGTCCTCCTCCTCTTACCTCCATTAACAAGCATCTCCCCCTTCTCTGCTACCAACCTCACGACTACCTATGCGCTCATCAATTCATCCTACAGTGTTTTTGTGCTGTTTGCACATGATAAATCCTGCTGCTGTCACGTACCACTTAACTCCAGGAAGTGTGGCAGAAGACCAGCTTGTCTGAGACACATTAAAAAAAGTGGAATGTAAAAATATACTGATCCAGAACCACAGCTGTACAAAGAGTTGTCTCCTCACGTGAGTGCCAAGGAAAGAGCTCATCCGATGTGGTGACAGCAGAGGCCTGCAGCGTGCGTGGGTGAGAGCCCCGGGAAGGACTGGAACATGTGTGATGCAGGAGGAGGAGGGTAAGAGCAGGAGATGGGTATTGGCATATGTCAGCGAGGAAGAGGTGGTTTGGCTTTCTGCAGAGCGTAGGAAGAAAATGATTCCTCGTGTGTGTGTGCATGTGTTGCAAGACCAGCATTGCAGAATAAAGGGATTCTCTGCCTAAGGAGCTAAATTGGCTGCCCTTTGAGCATTTTAATAGCTTTTTTTTTTTTTCTTCTTTCCAAAGCTTCTGTCACCAGGAACTCTCTGACTCCAGCTGCGAGAGAGTGTGAAGCATCCAAGATCATTTTTGAGTGCTCTATTGCCAACATCTGCCCAAGGCCTCTAGGAGCAGTAGGCACCAGGCCTCAAGCTGTGTGTGCCTGCCTGGGTCTAAGCTTAGCCCCCAGCTTTCCAATGGCTTTAGTTTGCACTTCTGTTCCCTTGCATAGCTCCTTTGCCCTTTCTTGTTCCTACCACAGCCTCTGCCGCATTGAACAGGAGACTAAAGCAATGATACCCTGTCCCTTGATTGCAGTTACAAGTCACATTTAGATACACGGTAGAGCAGTCTGCCAAGCAGCTGCTTTTCCTAAGTGCAGACATGGAAGGTCCACAGCAGCATATGATCCAAATCTGATCCAAAATGCAATCTAGTGGACTTGTTCCCAGAAGGAGCTGCCTGTCTGCCCTCTCATGTGCTGAGGAGATCAGACACTAAGCCATGGTTTAGCTTTCAGGCAGCTCCATTCCTCCATACCACTGTGGGATCACACAAATACCAGTGCCAACACTTCAGAGAGGGTGGGACTGCATGGCCATGGGCAGGGCAGAATGGCAGCCACCACCACCCAGATTGGTTTGAACTGCCCTGAAACAACACCCTGACAAGAGTGCTAGATGAGCTGCAGTCAAGGGAAGGCCCAGCATCTCCCAAATTAACTCCGTGATTTGCTGCAGTTTTATTAACTCCTGCTTTACAAAAATGGGCTGAATTAGCTAGAAGCACAAGCCTTGGCAGTGAAAGACAACACCAGCTTCACGGTCGTTTGCATCCAGATTCAGATGAGAAAAAACATGCAGTCCACATAAGTGATTTGTTAATCAGTCTCGCAGGGCTATCACTCCTTCCCTTCTAGCTTATCTGGCACATCCTTCACCTTAAAGCATACATTTTCCTGCTTCTCCAGGGGACCACCCTCTGTAAAACCTTAAACAGCTACCCTTTTCAAGACCAGAGGATAGCAGTAAAGAAGAGTCAGTGAGCAAATAAGGTGTCTGCTCCATGCTCCTAAAAGGTGTAAGATTTTTCACCCCTCCCATTCTGAGTCAGAAGGTGCTGTGCTACTCAGACCCCCCTTTTCCTCCCTCTGTGAATGTTTTTGATTACTTAGAGAGTCAGTGAAGTAGATATCTGCAGATAACCCATCAAAAAAGTAAAAAAAAAAATAATAAAATAACAAAAGCAGAAAGGTAGGAAGAAAAGAAGTGGTAAGATAATGGAATAGTACAGGCTGAAGGGAGACAGATCTAAAAGTTTGGAAAAAGCCCTCCTGGCTTCCTTGTGCTGCCATCTACCAAGTGCTCAAATGCTTCCTCAGAGATACAGGGACAGTACTGGGCTTGAAATTTTTAGGGCAAGACCAGAAAAGCTGTCAAAAAACTGCAAGGCCTTCACTCCTCCCATGCCCTTTCCTTAGAGTCCTACTGTGAGGATACATCCAAACCCTTCTGCAGATCATGGAGAAAACGTCCTCAGCCCAAGACCTCTATGTTCTGCTAGTTAAATTCAGCCTCAGGGCCATTCCTGCCTTTCCAAGCCCCAACCAAGCACGCTGAGTGAACCACTCACAAATCAAACAGGCTGGGGCTGGTGCTCTCCTGGCTCGTTTGTAGCAGCAGTCCCCAGCAAACTACAAAGCTGAGACTGGCCAGCAGCAAGGGCCAAGCTAGGTGTAGCATTCCCTCAGTCCTGGTTTGTAGGTTCAGCCCACCAACACAGGTCTTCCCTGTTGTAGCCCCTTCCGTCCCTGCAGTGAGTGGTTTCACTCCCTTTGTACCCACCTCCTCACACTAACTGAAATACTCATTCAGCCCCAGCACATAAAACCATGCCCACAAATCACAGAAAGCTTTCAGTTTGCGCGCATAAATCTAGAATTATGAAAAATTGCCTGCTGAGCCAAGCAGAACTGGGGGGCTGGTGTGCAGGAAGGACATCTGACATCCTGCAGGAAGACAGCAGGCAGGTCAGACTGAGCCAATGCCCCCGGAGCAGGGAACCACCTTTTGCAAAAGGCATGAAGACTTGTACTGCCTACTGACCCACACCTCTTAGCAGCCCGTCACTAGGGAGATTAGCCACTCACTGCTACCCACAGTTCAAAGAGATCCTAAAAAAAAAAAAAAAAAAGAGCTGGAGCAAAGCAGATTCAACTCCTTCTGACAATGCACTCAAAGGGGAAAATATTCTGCATAAAAGGCAAGGACTGGGGAAAAAAGATAACTGCGATCAGCACCTAAGCAATACATGAGGGAAAAAGGCTGTTTTCCCTCCTTCTCTTCCACCAAGGAAATTTCAAAGTGGTGTAAGACAAATAATGAGAAAAGCCATCAAAGCAAGCTGGTGATTCATTAAAATAAAAAAAATGCATTATGCATTGAGAGTAGTCAATTAGGAGATGCAAACTGCACGCTGTCCTGTCACCCCAGGGGAAGCACAAGCAAGGGGAGTGGGAGGAAAGGATAAGCAGAAAAGGAAAAATTTACAAGCATAAACAAAACCCAGCTATGACCCCAAGGTGAATAGCTTGTAGGAAACAGCAGCCATCACTAACCCACCCAGAGCAGCTGGAAGCTCCCTTTGTCTTTGGATTGCTACGAAGAGAATGAACGTAGCTACTCTCCAGACAGAGTGGTGTCAACCAAAGCATTACTGCTTCGAAAAATAAGGGCTACTGGTGCCAAATGATCAAAGAAAGTATCCACATTCAGATTCCCAGAGTGGAAGGCTGGGAAGCATCAGAAGCAAGTACTTTTCTTCCCTGAGCTCAGTGCAAGCAGTGTGGGAGAGAGCACAAAGGGTTCCCAGTTCCCTCCAGCACACCTACAGCCCTCTCCTTAGATATGTAGTCTTCTTTTCCTCCCCACATCATACAAGAAGTCACTACAGGGCCAGCGAGAGTGTGAACTGGCCTGCTGAGCCCAATGCTGACAGGCCTCCCCCTTCCTGCTTTGTAAGATCTGACAAACATACTGCTCCAAAAAGAGATCATCAAGATTATCCTCCCGAGCCTGCCCCTCAGCCTGGGCTCTAGCACTTCATTAGGATTCTGCATGACACTTTCCAAAGCCTGCATCCCTCATTGAGATGCTGACAGACAACGAGAGAACACAAAGTGCTCCCTCCCCTCTGAGGGGGCATTCCAGCCTGCAATTTCTGCTGTGACTCAATCAGCATCCACTTTAATGAGGCCATCTACTATCTCCCGGCCTTGGTGACTGATGTTTGAGCTTGTACCTCAGTCTCTGATTGCTCAGTCCTCCCTCTTCTCAGCTGCAGTTCTCCTCAGTTAACAAAATATGACCAAGAATTGTAGGACAAACAGTGCACCCAATTCCCAGTACTGCAGCTTCTAGCAGATCTTTGTCAGCTGATAATCCGTTTAGCAGCTAAAAGCAAGCATGTTTAGCTGACAGGATCTGGGAATACATCTTGAAGGTTTGTGTGCGTTAACAATCTCCTGGGCTTTGTAGGAGATGTTTTTGCACTGGCTAATTTGGGTCACTTTTGATCAGCCAGTGTCTTTGGCACACTGCCACAATGCCTCTTATGAATTTACTCTCTGAGCTGCACCTCTCTTTTGTCCAATCTCCTACATCCTTCTGTCTCTTAATAATGTCAGTCTTGGTGTGTCCTCATCGGGAAGGACTGAACTGCCTTCTAATGAAATTACGAGGCAGATGAATCAAGCCCAATGAGGCACGTAGGAGTTTACTATTGTGTAGGTCTATGGCCTCCTTGCTCAGCACCACATGCAGGTAAGGGAACTTCACAACTTCAAACTTATTGGACACATTTCAACTCCTAGAAGAGCTGAGAAGGGCTGCATCGCACCCTTAGGAGTTAAATATCCCCCTTAGTTTTCCCAACTCATTCCATTTGTTTTGCTTCCTAGTCCCATTTACATTATTCTTTAGAAATAAGAATGCAAAAATGAGTTTTATAGTGCAAATTAATATTCTGGAAAACAGCTTTTCCTGCTATGATTTCTGATGTTTTCCTTACCTTTTTTCCCCATCTAGGCTTCCTGTTTGGTTTGAGTTTGCAGGTAAAATACAAATCCACTTAGTACATAACTACACATCGTAGAAATGATGTATGACAAATTATTATAACACCACTAAGGACAAAACTCTAATCATACTTTTCCTCTGGGTTTCCGAACTGTTTTCCAAGCAGAAAACAGAGAGGAGCTGCACTATATCCTTTAGAGAACAAGGACACTGAATAAACTGTTTCTTAGCAACAAACAAACGAATAGCTCAAGTTCCCAGTCTGCCTCACAAAGGCGCAACCAGTATTTAGGAACCGAGAAAATAATGGAAGCAGGAAGACTCACCTCCCCCTTCTTTACAGTCATGGACTGCCGACGAGGAGTGATCTCTTCATTGATGCTGGAAAGGAAGTTCTGCGAGATCCGCAGGGCATCCTGCAGGAGTGGATGATCAGGGTGGCTCACTGGAGTGTGCTTGAGCAAATCCTGCCACCAGGAACACAAGCAAAGAATAGAACCATGAGCACCACTGGAAAGCAGAAGGGTCTGAAGGTCTCTAACTAGAGCCATGGGACAAGATGCTCCATGACTTCTTACACAGTAGAATAAGGCTGTATGTATAGAGGAAGAAGAGAAGAAGAGAAGTGATGCTCTGCACTTTGTAACACCAATGGATGGGTACCATCCCTGGGCTCTTCCCCCTCAGTGTAAAGTGAAGAGGCTCTTGTGCAGCATAAGAGCTTAATTTTTGCAGTCCTGCAGCTCTATGGAAAATTTAAAGGGACAAAAAAAAAAAAAAAAAAAAAAAGGGACGAAAAGTTTGAAAACTACCCTTTAGATACTTACATGCAGTACAAGTGTGCTGCGAGTCACTCGATCCACAGGTTTGTATAGCAGAGCTGTGAAAAAAAAAGCAATGTAAACATAAAAAAGAGGTACCTAAACACAGCCCCTACAGAGCAACTTGTCCAATGCCACTGAATGTACAGGCACAGGTTTATTAACCAACGAGCTACTAGAAACCCTTCTCTAAGGTTAATGTGCTACACAGCCAATTAAACACACATGAACACAGAGGAAATAAACATGCTCCACGGGAAACAAATGCCCACTTGTGAGCACACCCTGTCAGACAGTGGATGAGCACACAAGGCAGTACCGAACAACTGCACACAGCATGGCACACTTCGAACAATTCCCTGGCAACCTGCCTGGTCCCACAGGTCAGAATCGGGCCTCGCCAAGGAGGTCCCTGAAAGGTTGGCAGTGCCTCCCTCCTTTTGGAGTTCAGCACGACACTGTTGAGTGCTTCCAAACCCTGATAATAGGCCAAGAAAAGGAAGGGGATTGGCTTTTACATTAGTCAGTATGGAAGCTTCATATAAAGTGGCTTATCTACTTTGCGCATGTATAAAGACAAGCACAATGAAAGCTGACCTTGACCAGGCTCTCTTGAGATGGCAAAAAACATAACAATTACTTGTAGACTGACGTTTGTGCTATCACTGTGTAGGAGTCATTTTCTTAAGAACACAGCAGTCCTTTGGTTAGCCTGGTTTTGCCCAAAGGGACTCATCAGGTTTTACGCTGGGCAGAGGTTTGCCCATGCATGCATGCAGTTTACTATGCACAAGCTCTACTACTTAGCAAAAGGCAACCGATTTCCTAGGTAAAGCCAGCAGAGATTCCATAATCTTCCAGCATTTAAAAAGAAGAAGTAAGAGTGGAGGTTTGGCAACAGCCCCCACACAGTCCTGACAAACCAGTCTCCTCTGCATGGATCACTCACTTTCCAAGGAATTTTTCGTCGTCTGATCTTTAGATTCCTTTGTGCTTCTAGCCTTTAGATTCTAAAAGAAAAAGAAAACCCACGTAGCAGGCAGTCAATCACCTTGAAATATCACATGGGAATGTAAGAGTCTATCTGCTCCTCCAAAGAAGGGCCTAAGCGTGAATGGAGGACAGCCCTCTCACATTTCAAGTCAGTGAAGGAAAAATGTACTTTCCTTCTTGATAACTTCACCCTTGCCATGTCACAGGCACCCACGCATCTCAAATATTAATCAGGTTTCTTAGGAGTGTATGTCAATAGAGATGCAACAAAGCAGGGAACCACCTACAGCAACAGAGGGATGGTGGAATTTTTAATCACCTGTAAGAGAAAGGCATGTCCATAAGGATGCAGCCGTTGTCACAGCATGCATATGCCACCAATAAAGTACAGGACTGGGATTTAGCATCCCCTGGTTATACTTCCTTATATGTGCTCTGAGCTGTGCGACCTTGGCCAAGTCATTGTCTTTCATGGCCATAAAGGAACGATATCTGCGACACTTCTTTTTGCACATGGACTATGAAGCTGCACGTATTCATGTGCTGAGTGCTCTGAAATCCTCAGCAGGACGCTAACACAAATGCAAAAGTATCATTACCATCATTCTAAATGCAGCAGGTACTGGCATAATTTCAGCATTAGCCTTCAGAAAACAGAAGAACTGAGGGATCACATCTGCACAGAGCCCAGCACCCTGCTGCCCTAATCTCTACTCTATCCTCTAGGTGTTACCGTAACACTATCCATACATAGTGCTATTAATAAATGGGAAACTCCACGGAATGCATTTTAGTACTGAAAGGAAAGTAAGCACAGGGGAAGCTACTCTACTAATGAGCTGACACCACTGGAGCACAGAAGTGATAGGGCAAAGGACCAGAACCTGGTGGAAACCCTCAGTAAAGAGAATAGAAGGCACTTGCACTCTGATGAGTAGTACAACAGATCCCAACAGGCAAGCCTTGCTTCCTTTGTTTCACAGAGGGACTGTTTCATTTTATCTGTTTATTATAAAAATCTAAAGGGACATGCAACATTCAATGTACTCATTAGCTTTTTCAGGGCAATAAGCACTCCCAGTATTATTCAGCTCTGATTATTTATTTGCTTGTTTTTAAGGACACAGATATGAAGTTCACATTCTCTTGGCAACTGAGTTCTTCAAGATATAATTACTGCAGTGCAAACAGTCAATGAGACCATGCACTGCCAGCAAAGCTGGTGGCCTGGGAAGCCTGAAAAAGCCTTCAAAATGCTTCAACACAAAGTACTCCTCTTAAAGACAGGAAATCAGAGCAGCCGGGAAGTAATCTAGATTATGCTTGACACACTTGCCATTTTAAATTGAGTTTTCCTGTGCTACTCTCATCTTCTCCAAGGCAGTGAAGTCTGCAATTCCACAGATAGCCATAACACAAGCCATTAAGGATGGCTTTTTACATCACAGTCAGCATCATCATTAACAAGAGAAATATTTGGGAAGCTCAAAAACAGCTTTCACTGCTAGAAATGCATGCAGGTGGCACAGAGCTGGGAATTTCAAAGTAATGCCAATTGTTATGACAAGATTCCTTGGGCAGAAACAGCACATAAAGGCTGTCCATAAGATAACCTCTATTAGACCAAAGTACAAATTGTTGCAAGAACACAAGCTGAAGCTAAGGGAGTTCATAACTCCTTCAGAAGTCAAGGTGGCAAAGATACTTGGAGAATAGACAGGAGTGACATTGCAGGGTACTAGTCAGATTCAGATGTCTCGTGTGTCTGAATACCATGATATTACCTCAGAGATTTCAGCAAACTGAGCATTGGCTTGGCAGCATTTCTCTGCTGTCTCCATAGCAACTTCATAGTTATCCACAAAGGCCCGGTACACTCCCAGCTGGCTAGCCTGCAGGAAGCAAAACAAAATAAAATAAAATAAATGCTAGGGAAGAAGACAGTTTGGGATGGCCAGCCTTGGCATCTAATGATCATGTCATGTTCCTTCACAACAAAGAATTGCAGGGAATGCTGAGCAGGCCCAGAAAGACAGCTCTGACCTGTAAGCTTTGCTTAACCAAGGCAGTCCCATGCATCCATCTCCATCCACCCTGAACAAGTTCACTTACTGGGCTGTGAGGATGACACACCCTTATTACTGCCATCTATTTTTCCCTTCTGAACTGCCAGATTAGTATCTATTAATATTTTTGCTCATTGATGCAACTGGAACTGCTGGCTGTTTGCCACAGAATATGAATCAGACAGGAATGATTCAGCCCAACAGCACAAATGTGACCACAGTAAGCTACTTGTTGGCTTTTGCACGCATGCTGGTCACACTAAAACAAACCCAGATATTAACCTATATCTGCATCAGTAAACATTGTTGTAAAGGGCAGCAGAGTGCTGAAAATACAGAAGAGAGCCAGAGCATGATCTGTTTGAAAGGCAGTGACTGCAGCACTTAGGTGACAGAGAATGACAGTTCAAGCAGAAGGAATACACCATTGGTCTGGATGAAGACACAGCAGGCCTCAGTGTCTAGTAATAAACAAACCACTGTCATCACTGAGCCCTAGCACTAATTCTGTTTGCTGACTTTTTTATTAATTGCAGTGATATTCATGCCAGAGAACATAAGATCCAGCTCAGGAAACCCCTGGGTAGCTTCCAAGCTTGTCTGGATTGCAGAACAGCTTTTACGCTGCAGAGCTCCACAGGCTGTGCTGTGAACACCTCAGCAGCTTGAATGTGCTTGCAGAAGTGTGGTCAGTTCTGAGCCAACAGGTGGAGTGCTGAAAAAGACTTCTTTTTAATAAAGTTGTGTTTTTATTTTTCCAAAAAAAGCTTACACTTATGATTTCTGCACCTTCCCTGCCACCTCTGCCCCATAGAGGCACCAGACAGAGCAGTAGGTGCTCTTTTCCTCTCCTCCTCTGTCATAACCATTGTGTTTCTCATTCTCTATGGAGCTTTGTGCAAGAAATGATGGAAGAGAAAAAGGCACTCCCCGAAGAACATTCCCTGCACAGATTTCTTTAGCTAATGGAGGCTACAGAAGTGAGCTATTTTCTATGGCGCATTTTACTAAAAGATTAGGAACCAGCCTCAACCCTCACACAAAATAACATTGTTATGGCTGAGGCTGGAGGAAACTGTGCTCACTTATGCCAGGGGTGATCTGGCCCCTGGAAGTGTGGAGATAATTAAATCTGTAGCTGCCACTGGGGCACAATTCTCTGAAGATGCTGTCAGAATTATCACTCATATGCAGGACTTATGATGTTTAGATTTGGATGACGCCAGCTAATGTGGCAGAACTTTAGAGTTTCTCCATTACTGTGTGGCTCTTCCATTTCCTACTACTCCTTAACAATCTTCCTAAGATTTCATTTTCCTTCTCTACACTTGCTGTCATTAAAATATCTATTCAATTAAAGTCTGATCATCCAATCAAAGCAATGATGCTCACACTAGACATTAATGCTGGCTTAAGTTTTCCCTTTTTTGATTAAGAAGAAGGCAACGAAAACTAAACAAGCTTTGGTAAAAATAACTGGCTTTTGGTTAAAAAAAATCCATTCCTGAAAACTATTAGTGATAATATTTGCTAAATATTTTTTTATTTCTAAAAAAAAAGTTCTGAAGTGTTTCCTTTTAGTTATAAAATTGTACAAAATATTCCTCAAACACAAGAAGCATATTTCACTCCCACATGCCTGATGGCTTTTGTTGTTTTTATTTTTTTTCCTCCCTCTCTTTTCCTTAGTTTCAACAGAGAAACTTGCCCAGTGCCAGGACCAGAGGCAATCGGCACAAACTGAAACACAAAAGGTTCTGTATGAACATGAGGAAGCACTTCTTTACTGTGCAGGTGACAGAACACTGGCACAGGTTGCCCAGAGAGGTCGTACAGCCTCCCTCCTTGCAGATCTTCTAAGACCACCTGAACATGGTCCTGGGCAACCTGCTCTAGGCAGCCCTGCTTGAGCAGGGAAGTGGGAACAGATGAGCTCCAGAGGTCCCTTCCAACCTCAACCATTCTGTGAAAGAGGTGGAACAACGGTCACTAACATTGCAAATCTATTGTACTTTGTACCAGACCACATGAAATTCTAGTATTCCTTGCATGCACCATCTATAACTTTAGTCTACGGTGCTTTGCTTTGCAAGATATTAATGCCCCCAGAGAACACAGAGTAACAGCAAGGATTCTAGTGCTTATCATTAGATTGCATGACATGACCACAACTAGACAGTCTACTCCCAAAGATTTGATGTACAACCTGTATAGATGTCTTCTTACGCCTGATATTCTTGCCATTTCTCTCATCTAGCTGCTTCTCACTGCCTGCCAAAAATGACTAAGTTTATCTCATCCAGCTAGGAGTTCATGATTCCCACTGATACTGTACCAAACCATCAGAAACTGAAATTTCTGAAAGCTTTCTGCACTAGGGCGATTTGTTTCTTTGCTTCCAATACTAACCCAACAAAATCATCGGGTTACATATGCACAAGAATCAAGGGAACACAAAAATACAGTGCTATAGAAGGGCCTGTGATCACCATCAGCAAGAAGCGGTCTTAAACAAAGGCCTAAAAAGCTGCACAGTGAGTCAAAGCTTGCTTGACAGCCAGCAGTGGTAAAGAATATATTCAGCTCTTCTTCGATTAACACTATGTTCATTATTGCACTACACTTTCAATGCACTTTCATCAACCTTCTATACCTTTGCTTCAGCAACCAGCAGCAGGTGGCTTTGTCTTCTTAAACCAGTTGCTCAAATTTCAAATTGCATATGCAGAGCTACTCACCAAGGCACCAACTCAATCCCTGCTGGCTAAAACATGCTGCCAGTGAAAAGTAGGCTCCTGTATTTTCATCAAGATGCTGGTGTGCATAGAAAACATCATCTTCCTGGCCTTCCGCCCCCTGCTCCATAGGCAATGGCATTGGTACTGGGCTAGACAGCTGCTAACAATTGAGTGACCTTGGTAAAGTGTACTCCCCATCCAATAAACCCCTCACTGGAATGTAACTCCTACCCTGAGAATCAGAAGCACCTCAGGAATGCAGAGATTCCTTTCTTTTCTAAAAGGCAAAAAACAGCCCCTTTAATCCTTTGCTCTCTGCACATGCTAGGGGAAAGGCTGAAGGGGCCAAAGGAATTTCCTAGAACATAAACAATTTTTCATCTGACTCAGAAACTCAGCATTTTTCATTCAGCCACAGGAATATAGTTGATATGACTTTGTCCTGTTCTGCACTCAGAGAATTTTGTTGTAGTTGTTTGAAGGAGTCTTAGTAGCAGGTTGAATGGATCAGCAGAGCAGCAAGGGGAATCTCAAAAAGTGGGGTGGTAGAAATGCAAAGCTGAAGGTGACAACCATAAAAACAGAGAAATTCAGTACAAGATAGAGGAAAGCACCACAGAGAGAATGAAGTATGTGCGAGGGAGCTCAGCAACAAGGAGAAACACTTATCTTTCAGTGTTAAAAAGTAGGGATTTTTAAACACTGCCATTGTCCCATCTTCCTCTAAATGGCTTGATGACACTGCAGACACCCTGGAGATTCAACATTTCTCTAAAACTGTATTCGCATTAGTAGCACAGCTTGTTGGAGCCTTTAATTAACAGCAATGAAAGAGCCACTTTAGCTGTAGGCCTTTCACTGCAGTGAGGCAAAGCTATAAGCCTATCATCTACTCCAGCTATGGGCTTTCATCCCTGTAGTCTATGCAAAGTCAGTAGAAGGAATTAGAGCAGCACCTGTTAGATGAATAAGAGATAAGAGAAGCTTTGGCGATGGCAGCTAACTCACCAGCTTTTGGAAGAGGTCTCCTACGCGTTGCTGGTGACTCCACTGCTGCACTCGGGGAAAGAGCCCATCATAGAATTCTTTGTGGATCTCATAGAGCTCAGGCACTTTGAAGAATATTGTCTCAATCTGCTGACTAGTCAGCACAGGCTGAGATGTGGTGGCAGCTGCTTTCAAAGGCTTCATAGGCTGAAATGAGGAATGAAGGAAATCATTACCATGCAAACCAAGCACATCCACCCTTACCACATTACAACACATCCTTCCAAAGAGCTGTCCTGTTAATAAGTGATATTTGCATTCATACAACTCCTGAAAGCTAGACATTAACAAAATCTCTCATGGTGATCAGCCACCCCTGGTATATGGATTTCCCCAGGATGTCTGAAGGTGATTAAAATCCCTTTGCACTCAGTTTCCTCAATCTCTGTTCAGCTGTAGAACACTGTGTCTAATAGTTAGCACTGAATACTGAAAGATGGGGCTCCTGTACACTAGCACACTAATAACTCCCTGGTTGTGCCATATTCAATCCTCTCCTTAAGCTTCTCTTTCTCTACTGGAGAAGAAGGGTAACAGGAACCTTTTGCACTGAGCAACCGATAAGCCAAGGTACCTGAAGTTCTGGGAAACTCTAGACAGAAGCAGCAGTGAAAAGGCAAGTACCAGTGTTTGAAATGGTGTCTGCCACCAGTGCTTACCAGCAGCAGAGCCTCCAGGTGGCTCAGGTAGGTTTCCTCACTGGCCAGGATTCCTGACAGGACCCATTTTCTCATCTCCAGGCCTTTCTCCAGATCTGGCTCACTCTACAAAGAAGTTGTTAAAAGGGAAAAAAATAGGAAAAAAAAATGAGGATGGGGAGAAGGTATAATTCAGTTGACCACAGCATACTCAGTTGTTTGATTTACTTAACAGACTAATGAAAAACAACCAAAAGAAAACACCTGTGCTAATTGTCTAGTTTCTAGAAATATACATCAATAAAAACATCAAGGAAATTTTTTATTTACCAGAAACTGATGCCACTTAGATTGTTTATGGGTGTTAGCTTTAGTCATCCAAATTTGGTGCCTCAGTTAGTTGCCTGGGATTCTTCACATAATTTAAAACTTAAAATTTCAAAACTCAAAATTTATCTTTCTAAACAAATTTTAGGGTCCCTTGGTTCTGTGCAGTTCACTCCCTCCTCCCCTGAGAGTTGTCTATGATCCTATTCCAAAGCCATGTGTTTCTCTATGCAGACAGGATCACCTCCCCTGTATCTACACAGATGCGCATGAATATAGAGCAGTTACAGGCTGACACTGCTGTTAAGATGGCTGTTCTTTCTCCCACTCTCTACTATTCACCAAGTTATTTTTCAGTGCCAGCATGTATAATGTCTATTTTTAGTTAGAAGATGGAATAATCAGCAGTGCTTGGAATGCACATGCTGATTTTCTTATCAGGATTCCACGAAGCTGTTCTTAACCAAAACAATTGAAGAAGGAGAGAGAAGAAATAAATATGTGCATGAGCAAATGTACACACCAAAGGAAGATTATTACTTCTCTTAACAGTTGATGTTAATCTCTTTCATATTTCAACTATCCTTCTCCAAACCGCTACCTGAAAAATGTTTAACCATATAAAATGAAATTGAGTATTTCCACAAACTCTGAAAATAAATTGGCCAAACAGTGAAGGTTATAAATAACGAGAACACATCCCCCCCCACACTTCTACAGAACATTATTTCCATTTCTTGTTATTTCTGCCATTCATATAAATGGCTTTTTACAATTTGTGCACCATTATTATGTTGTTAAATATCTCCAAGAGTAGAGTCAGTAGTTAGATCTGCAAAAGTAAATACTTTTCAAGGGTTTTGGGTAGGTTGTTTGGGGCGCCGTCCTACTCCTGTTAATATCCAGAGGAATCTTTGGCTATTGATTTTAGCAGCAGGGGGATTAGGAAACATAACAGCTTGTTCCACTCTACTGGCTGAACATAAAGCCCTTCTATAGCTGATTTTAAAAAGCTCCATTTAATTTAGGGTCCTATGCTTTGAACTCTGCAAATGTATAGATGAGGTTCACTATGGAGAGAAGGTACCGTGGCTCTAGGTAAGCTTACAGCAGCCATCACACTGAATGTGACTTTGAGCCCACGCACCACACTAAGAACGAAACATATCCTCACGCTCCCAGATATTTTTGGATTCAATCTCATCAGTAACAACCCTGACTTTCAAACGCTTTCGTTAAATTTCACAAGCTATTTTCTAGGCTAAAAGACTTTGCAGCAGCTCCTTTATAAAAATTTTGTGAGGTGCCAAATAACACCAACACCTCCTAAGCGAAAGTGGCAGACAGAAGCTGTTCTAAGGAAATGAATAAGATTTACATGTATGTCAGGTGCTACATGGAAAGAAGAACTTGTCTTTGCATCCTGCTTTTCAGAGAGGTTCAGTAAGAGCCACAGCGCCTTTTAAAATCTTGAAAGGGCATCTCAAAGGAGCTACGAATTTGTAATTCAGCAGCCACATTCAGAAGATTTAAGAAAAACACCAGTGACAAACTACATGGTAAAAGGAACACTGCAACAGATTCTGTGCATTACGGAGCACTTGTTACAGCTCAGTCAGGAATCTGCAACAATATTATGACCATTCCTTTTCATTTCTATACCCATAGTGCCTGGATGTCCACCCCTGGGCTGGGCATGGTGCACACAGGTAATCAAGAAAGACAGCATCAAGACGCCTAACAATTTCTTCCATTTAATGGGGCAAGCACTCAGCTGTCTCTGTGGAACTCCCAGGAGCTCTGATGCAAGAAACACTCAAATCTCTTGGCTTCCAAAGATTTCTTACAACATTTACAAAAGAAAAACGCAGCTTCACAAAGAAGCATTGAAAAAAACGAACAGTGCTCCAAAGTCCCCACTGCTGCAGATGAGGTAAGCGGTCAATATTGACACAGCACTATAATTATGTCTAGCAGGTTCTCTTGGAGGAGGTGAGGGTTTAAAAACCAGCTGGGTATGTTTGTAACATCTGTAAAGAGCAGCACATGATGACGAGTCGTTTAAATGATTCAAACTTCCCCATCGCAACTGTGACACAACAGTTTTCATTATAGTACTGAGAACAGCTTTCCTCTTCACAAATAAAAGCTTTAATTTATAAGCCAGTTCTTACTGGGCATCGTCAGCTGACAGAGACGGCATTTTCTGTCTGAATGTTAATTTCCTCTCTTAAAGAGATTTGCTTTCAGGGAGACAAACATCTCCCAGGACACACTACAGACCTTCCTTCCTGGCCATTACCACAAGGTCACATTGAGAAGTCCACAGTGTTGTCCTAATCCTTTTTATAGGAGAATTTTCCAAGTGCAATGCTTGCAAAACTGTAGCCTCAGCGCCAGCCAGCCAGAGCAGGGCCCGGCTGCTTTAAGATATAGGGCAGCAGTTGCTGAAGAAACCCTCTGGGGAGTTTTTTCAACAATCACAGAGCACGCTGCAAGATTTCCAAAGCAATACCTCCAATTTACATATGGATTCCTGAATGTGGAAAGATGATCTCCTGCTGCTCCTGCTGCGTCAGGGATCAATATGCTACCATGCTGCTGCTGTCTCCATTGTGCTGCCACGCTGCATCTCCTCCTGAGAACCAGTGCCCTGACATGGGTTTCCTGCTGAGGAAGGCCTTTTCTGACAATGTCATCTGGGGCTGTGCTAGGCAGCAGCTCTTGCTGCTAGACGAACTCCTGGAGACCAGTCCCTGTTCTTCCTCAGCCTCAGGGTGCTTTTTAAGTCATGCTTGTTATGAAATTCACTCCAGGACTGAGAAATTCACTGGGAGCTGGTGCCAAAACCAGGAATATGAGAAACAAATTCATTATTTGATATTACAACATTTCTCACTTACAGAATTGGGAACAGGCTCACCTGCACACCCAAAACAAGTCAGAGCAATTAGCAGGCAAAGATACTGTGATACTGTCCTTCCACTCTCCCCTTAAAGCACACAAAAACATGATACAGCCAGTGCCAAGGGTATTTTCTGCTTTGGCCATATTTGACAAAAAAGGGAACAAAGAACAACCCCGCAACCACAAAGCCCCACTGACTGCTCCATTCTGCACTCCAGGCATTTAAAAGAGGGAACATCCTGGGCCTAGGAACCAAGCTCCCCAGACACACATGGTGTCAGGGAGACCTGCCAAGGCTGGACGCTCGCTTCCCTTACCCTGGCAGGAAGGAAGCACTATGAAATCTTTGAGCTGTTTGTGGCAAGGGGAGGAGCTGCTACCACGTCCACCGCACCACATTAGTTAGGGGAAAATACACCTATTAACCTGCTGGGATGTTCCCAGCAGGATGTGGGAGAAGCCCACATTGGCAAACTCCAACCACCCAGCAGGGAACGCCAGGTGGTCAGCAGTCCATCCATCCCAAGCTTCCTACCTGGCTTGGTCAGCATGTTCTGCACCTGTACAAGTCTGACTAGTATTTCACGTTCCGACCTCTTTGACGCAAGCATCTGTTTCTAGCCTTTCCTCATTGACCTTCCATCTTTTGACTGCCTCTCTACCCACATGTTTATGTTTATTAGGAATAAATCTGTCTTACAAGACTACCTTGGGGCAGCAAACAGCATTCCTGTCTGCGTGCCATGGCAGCTGTGAGGACCTAACAACCAGCCGGTTCTGAAAAAGAAAGCTAGAAATCAGTGCTTTGCTCCCACCCCTCACGAACTACATTTAAAAAGGTAAAAAGAGAGGCAAAATAAAAGGAAGGTGGAATACAGTAATAAAGGAAATTGCATGGATATCCCATGCCTACAGTGTTATGCTGTTTTCTTCTCAACTGGGTGGTGCTTCTTGGTATTCCAAGGATTTAAAAACCAAAAGACTGAGTCACAGTCATAAATGCAATCTTGCAACCTGAATCAAGGCCAGTCAGAGTGGATAGAAGCACTGAAGATATTAGAAAGTGTGCATATACTGGCCTCAAGCCATGGCTGTTATGAACATGTTTACAGCTTGTCAACCTAAGTACTTTTGTTTACTAACCAGGTTGGCATTGCATGTTGAATTCAATTACTGTGAGCCTGCGATTCACCAGCTCCAAGGATTAGACAATGTCAGCTCTTCCCAAGTCTGTTTAAAGAACTCAGGGCTTTCTGGCTGTTGTTTAAAATAACAGCAAGAATTGTTTTATTGCAAATGTTAGAAAAACACAGATTAAGAATCTTGAAACCACAATGTGTAAGATTTTGCAAAGTAGTTGCTGCTGGAACAGTTCTGTAAAGAGAAGCAGTGTTTCAAAGTGGGCGTATAAAAGGCACTTTAACTCTCAGACCTTCCTTTGGTACAGTGTGTTCGTATGCTGTGCAATGAATGTGTTCAAAGGAGAGGTTTCCTGTAAGGACAGCTCAGAATCTCATAGAGAACACGACACACTATGAAAGAGAAAAAAACATTCATTTTAATTTTTAAAGTGTAAATATCTTTGAAAGCTTCCACTGAACAGCTGGAGGTGTCTCATTGTCTAGGTGATATTAAACAGGGCAAATTCTGCAACTGAACCATATCACGCTCTGTGCAGGGAGGGGAAGGAGCAGGGAGAGGAGCCAACATTATTTATAACATCAGTACTGGTGTGCCAACTCTCCTCAGGAAGGGCTGTACATCCAGGCAGAAACCTTAAGCAACACAGAGTTGGAGAAGAAAAAGGAAAAGTTGCATCTGTTGGGGGCGGTGAGAAAAAAATAGCAGTAAATAAAGAAAAAAATAAATACAAGCAAATACAGAGAGGAAGA